TGGACTAGTAAAGGCTGTTGATGATGATGGTGATGAATATTTGACAAAACAGAGATTGTTGCTTTTGTGTGTGTTTATCTATGACTTTAGAGTCTACATAAAAGACGATTTCAAATAATTTTGAAAATTTTATGAAATAAGAGAGTTTGAGTTTGAATAAAACTTCATGACTTACTTTTAACCCTTGAAGGTGGGCATTTCTTCTTCAAATTTGAATGAGATCAAACGAAAAACATCCATTATTTAATAATGTCTGGGTTCTGAGGTAAAAAACTTAAAAAAAAAACGGAACAAAGAACTTCTTTGCTAAAAAGTTGGTTAAAATATGTGTCTTTTAAATCTATCTCTATAAAAATAAAGTCTGTTAAAGGTATTTTATTGGCTATCATTAACATAAGTCAATTACATGCGCCTAAAATAAAGCCGAACTTAAGACCCCAAGGGTATCAAGGCAAGAAATAGGATGAGGTGGAAAAACATTTATTTCAATTATCGCTGGTAGAATAGTAGAGGTGCTATACCCATTTTTACACTAAAGAGATTTCATGCACATTTTACTAGAGATTTTATGACCCAGTCCGAATTTAAATACCTATCAAACCGAGATACACAAAACTTGACCTTTTGTCTGTAGGCATCAATAACAACGGCAATAACTTTTGGGATATCCCCAGCCAGAACCAAAGCGATTGAAACATCTATAAAAGTCTATGGGAGGTGAAGTCCTTTGTTTAGGAATTCCTGGGTGATTTCAATGAGTAATACTCGTATATGCGTAGTACGTAAAATGTTTTTTGTAGATGGCTATTTATAAATACCTAATTATCTGTTACAGAGAATAGATGAATACGTTTGTTTTTCTCGAAAAGTATATTGTGCTTGTCTCTGATTTTGAGAATTTGCTTGTAGCCAATTAATGCGCATCCTCTTATTAGTATTTTTAATAATGATCTAATTATTATTCTTTCATCAATGATTTTTAAGGAAGATACGTTATATTCATACTTCTCGCACAAAATATTTGTTCCGTAACACTGTACATAGATCTATTATTGTATTTTAGAACAAAACATACGCTACAAGTGCGATAGGAAATAGGCAAAGCATAAGAGTGAAAGAGACAGCTATTTGTAATCAGTACAGCGACAGAGAGGGCATTTAATGATTATTTCGAATTCATTAGTACGAGCGCGCGCTTTTTTGGTCCTAATTAGGATCCTCATGTTTTGTGCGTTGGTGGCTTATCTACCTCTCGTATGTATATAATATCATTTTCTTTTATATTATTATTTTGTTTAATTTTGAAATTAATACAATTGTACTTTGGAGAGCATAGCTTCAGCACAAATGGTCCGTCTCGACCGGACTGACACGCTAGCTATAGGGATGAAATAAAATCACAATCACATGTGATAAATCATATAATTCATAAATCATTTAATCACACCTGTGACTAATTTACAACACCATGGCGTCTTATTTTTGGTCATTGAGTTAAAACAACACTAGAGAAGCAAACCTCATTATCACACGTCGAAAAAAGTGTAACCACTTTTGAACTTTGACGACGTAGCTTTGATACCACTAAACATTTGAAAGTAAACATATTTATGTCTCATTTACACGCGAGACAAGAACAATACCATCGCTCGGATTAGACAAAGACAAAGATATAACTTTACGATGGTGGGCCAGTGTTGACTACCGTATGAAATTTTACCCATAACAACTAAGAAACAATTTTTTTTTTAAACAATTTTGTAATAAAATAAATTAATTTAAATATTCTAAATAATATATTTCCAATTGAATAGAATAGGTATAAATAATAAAATAACTGGAAATATTTGGTTAAAAGGGTTTATATTCAGTGTAAAATCAAACTGCGCTGTGAAGCATCAGTTTTGTATACAATTGTCTTTTAGACTCTTTTTTATAAGTTTGTGTGGATATTTTACTTTCATGATACAATCTTATTTTTACGTATGTAAAAATAATGGCATTTAATAGTAAAAGTGAATGATCAACTTGTACTGATAATAAATAATCCCCAGGGTGTATTGCAAATTCTATAATAATTTAAAAAACAAATAAAAAAAATTTTTTTTTTTTTATTTATATTTTATAAAAAAAAATATTAATGTTTATTTACTTTTTTATTTTATATTTATATTTTTTATTTTTATGATAAACATTTATTATTATTATTATTATTATTTTGTACAATTATTATTTAAAATTGATAATAAATTAAGAAAAACAATGAATTAATTCTTTTGTACAAAAGTCTCCAGCACTGCGAGCTTGGCACTTCTGCCAAGCTCGCAGTGAACGTTCAACGGGTCCCTAAAAAAAGTGATCGGTCCAGCCCTAACAACTACCGTTCTTCCTATATTTTATTATTATTGGCAAAATGTTTAAAAACAGTATAAAGCATATTATTTCATAAATTATAAATTCTCCCACTAATGTGGGAAAACCAAAATGATTTTTTAATGGTAACACTGATTCTAAATTACAATTATCAGTGTTTTATTTTAATTATAGCCTTATTTACGATATTATCAATACAAAAACCATAAACTTATACGTGAAAAGTAATTCCGCATGATTTATTAATGTTTTGTGACCTTGAATCGCATTCTTTCACTACGCATTTAGCCATTTTGGCGATTGTTACTGTCATGTGTCGCTGTGTTCAACTCGGTTGACGCCACATTGAATACTGAATTGACGTTTGCTACGCATATGCCTGTGGACAGATGTGCAGTAGCAACGATTTTAGGCGGTAATTACTCATCTATGTAAGTATTATATCAATGTTTTTGGTACCTATTTTTGGTTCCATGGATTCACCGTGCGGGTGCCGGGTCTATTGCATGATAGATGGGAGCAACACATGCTACTTCGACAGGTATAGGTTTAAGGAGTACTCCTTGCGACGCGTCAGCGCTCACCTCCACTGTCTGCTGTGTTACCCCCTCTACATAACTAGTTATATTTGATACGAGCCTAGCAATGCCGCTTTGGATATTCGTTCAAGAAAAGAGCCTACTGAAGCTCTTGGCAATCCAAGGTCTTTGAGCAGGTTGTAAAGGGATTTAGTAGGTATACCCCTCGCACCCACTTCCACGTCATATAACGCAACGACATAATCATTTTTAGAGCTTTTTAAAGCGTGGTCTTTAGGGATGTTCCTTTCGCACGGCACCGTGAGTTCTACTAGTACTACACGCTTAATTCAAATTGTGTAAAGAAATATATCTGGTCTGGACGCCGAGGCACAGATATCCTCCGGTGTTCTGTAATGATTTTGATACGTCCGACCTCCAATAATGTCCAGTCACTGGCGGTATTTATAATTGAGTACGGCTTTTGTAAAGTCTTTTTTGTTGAGCCTTCCTGTACAAACGCGATGTTAGTTCTTATTCCTTTTTTCGCTGTAGCCAGTGATAAACTTATAGCTTCGCATATGATTTGTAATACCCTATCATTGCGACGTGAATAATGCGCCTTACAACCTGTCAGTAAGTGTCTGGATGTTACCTTGTCAATGCCTTTTACGAAGTCATCGACTATCGCGTTCATAGATGGAGTACGACCGTTGTAGTCTATCTTTCTTCAAAGGAACTTAAAGGCCACGGCTTCTGATATTATTGAAACACTTTCCCCACCAACAGTAATCCCGGGGTCATATGCGGTATATCTGGTACCTCGCCGGCCCATGCAAAGGCAATAACATTTGCTAGAATGTGTCCTCACTCCCTCCGTCCAGGAACAGAAGTCATCCACCTTCACAATTACATTTGAAATTTCTGTGACTAAAACTAATCATTTTATCAAATGAATATTATTTAAAAGTAGCAATAATTTAGATGTCTACTAGCCAGATAGATAGGTCTAGCAGAAAACTGTTGCTAAGCAGTTCTTTTGTTGTTTTTCACCAAGTGGTGAAGCTACCGGATTCAAAACCTTCTCCTACTCCTGATCCTCTGCAACTCGACTCACGAGTAGCAGGTGTCCATCGGCGGCGGTAGTTACTTACCATCAGGTGACCCTCGTTTGCCCTCCTATACCATAAAAATACAAATCGAAAAAAGCTATCCAAATATTATACCAGACGACCGGATGGCGTAGTGGTTTGTGTAATCGACTGCTATTCCAAAGGTCGCGGGTTCGATTCCCGTTCAGGTCAAACATTTGTGTACATGAACATTTGATGTTTGATTTGGTCTGGGTGTTTCTATGTATAATAAGTATGTATTTACAAAAAAAAAGTATATATGTATTTATATCAGTTGTCTAGTAGCCATAGTACAAGCTCTGCTTAGTTTGGGACTAGATGGCGTTGTGTGTATGTGGTGGAATATATTATATTAAGTCAGAGGTCATGGGTTCGATCACACGATCCCACAAATAATACATATTGTGTGATGAGCTGCTGTGTGGGTGGAAGAGCCAATAAAAGTCGAAGCTTTTAGCTTACTTGCTGTAACACTCCTTTACAAAGTGCACAGTGGGTATATATGTACTTAATAACTACGTGTTTAGAACTTTTTTTTTATTTTTTTAAAAAGACTACTCCCGCATTAGGAATATATCCTGTGTCGCGGGGGACTTTACAAACATACATGAAACGGACACTATTAGGACAGATTACTAGCTTATGCACATGCACATGCTTGGAATTTTAAAAGGGCTGCCTTAGTGAGTTCGATTCCCGGACCGGGCAAAATTTTGTAGCGTTTTTCTAAGAGAAAAAATAGCCTAAGTTACTCCTTATATAGACAGCTACCTAGTAGTAAAACATTATCTAACTCGGTCCAGCCTATCCCTAATCGCCTAAAGTCTATAAGAAATTAAAAAATCAAATGGAGGTAAAGACAACATAATAATAACACAAGTAGGTCATCAAAATAAAAAGAAAGGTACAAATAAAAGTTGTTTAGTTATTTATTTCCTGTAAGTACCCAAAATAGTCCCTCAACAATGTATTATGTTCATCTGTAGTCGTTATAAACGAGTATAACATCGTGGTCGGTTCCCTTCGCGCGGGCGGCTCGAGCGAGTCGCGCGGGCGACGCGGCACAAAGACGTGGCGATAGAGCCGGGTCGCGGTACAACAACTTGCCGCGACTGTACCCCACCACCACCACGTAGTGGCCCGAATACGAGCCACCGAAACACCGTCTGAAAACACCCCTTTAACTCAGTAGGATAAACTACAAAGAAACTAACAAGTCAACTTCAAGAATTACAAAAATGTAGCAATACTCGATTCAGGCCGTGACATAACACTAAACAAATATCCAGCTCGGGCAGAACTCTAAGCTCTATTATGCTTACAGTCTGATAAAACCGCCGTTTAGCTAAGCCATAATCATAATAACGGAAGGCAGAAACAGTAAATACGTTCTGAATGGAGTTTTTTTAATTTTCGACATGGGATTTCTTCTAGTAAATTATCCCCACACACACACAATTGATACCCACTTATAAATAAAATTCAAACACACAATTGATCCCCACTTATAAATAAAATTCAAACACACAATTGATCCCCACTTATAAATAAAATTCAATTGAGAAAATCTGAAAAATCCTAAAAAACATTTTTAAATGATTATTGTGACTACTCGATTTGAAGTCCTGGGCCTCAATTAAGCTATTTTATGTTCACGCCAAGCCACTGTCATACCACTGACACGCTATTGAGAGGCCATCGAGTGGTCATTGGCATCGGTATAAATATTGGTAGTCTACACTAACTCAGTGTCTTTACAGTGGTGATGGAATGGCAGTGACTTATCAGTGGTGATATCAAAAAGATTGCCATATTTGGAAAAATAAATAAATCATTTCCTTATAATTTGAAAACATATTACGTTTTTTTATGGCCACTCGATGGCATCTCAATAGCGTGTCAGTGGTGTGACAGTGGCTTGGCGTGAACATAAAATAGCAGAATTGAGGCCCTGAAGTTCAGCCGCTAACATCCACCGCTAAGATACGATACCTGAATTCAGCCTTAATCTTGTTGTGTCTGCAGAGATCACACACGAGCAGTCCCGAGTCTACCAATACCACAACCGGACCGTGTCGACTGAGGTGTGCTACCAGCTCCTCAGAAGTGAGAGAGTGCTGCTCGACTACGATTCCAGCGGAGACTGCAGCGTCGAACCGTTGGAGGACGCGGTCTCGATCCTGAATAACGAAGACAGGGCCTGGCTCAATTACTTACGCTTCAGAATATCAGCAGGGATAGCAGAGGCATGCTTGGTCAAATGGACCGGACCAGCAAAACAAGGGCGATATCACGTCCTTACAGAAAACTGGTGATAAGCAACTCTTTCCTGCTTTCCACAGAATAAGACAGGTCGCCAGTGGGATAACCTCCCCCTCCCTTTCTTCCCTAATTCTGAAGGGACACTCAAATACCGGCAGACGGAGCGTGGGTAGGGTAGGTAGTTGGGTGTGGAGAAACTTGGGGGAGGCCTATATCCAACAGTGGACGTCTTTCGGCTGATATGGTGATGATGATAACTCAAAGTCTGTCAACAAATTTATGACAACACGTCTGTCGCAAGTATGTCACTTCATTAGTCACAGAGATGGCTCACCCGTCTGCTCGTCATCCACCGTTAACATAAGAAGAAACACTTAAGAGTATAATAATGCTCGCTCACAACTCAACATCATCGTCAACAGCCTTTAATAGTCCACTGCTGGACGTAGGCCTCTCCTTAGAAAGGAGGTTTTGGCCTACTATACCACGCTGGCCAGACGGGTTGGTATTGGGTTTGTGTCAAGTTTTCCTTCTTTTTGCAGTGCTGGACAACTCACCATGTCAATAATCTTATTGTAGTACCCCTGTTTCTTATAGCTCTCGTTCACTCCAAGCAATTCAGTATACATAACATGTTGTATGTCAAACCTGTTGAATATATAACCTGAATTAGTTCTCCTTTCCATTTAATGGGTAAATGACTGTGGAATCAAATCAGTATTTTTTTATTCTCTACGGTGTGAAAAATCGGAAATCGGAAAATGGTGTGAAATTTATAGGGATTTAATATCCCTATAAATTAGTCATTTGAAGATATCAAATTAATAGAAATATTATATTGATAATGGTGGACAACTCAGGCTGTACTATAAGATGCTAAATTTAAAAATGCATAATAAATAATTTATTTTAAACCTAGAAATCTACTCATTTTGTTAAGTACATGTAACTTTTAAATATCTACCAGAAAGGACACAGTCTTTTTTTATTTTTACATTATGGCAACATTTGACGACCGAATGGCGTAGTGGTTTGTGTAACGGACTGCTATTCCAAAGGTCGCAGGTTCAATTCCCGCTCAAATCAAACATTTGTATGAAAAATGTTTGATTTGGTCTGGGGGTTTCTACATATAATAAGTATGTATTTAAAAAAAAGGACATATGTATTTATATAAGTCGTCTAGTAGCCATAGTACAAGCTTTGCTTAGTTTGGGACTAGATGGTGTTGTGTGAATGTGGTAGAATATTATTATTATTATTTATTTTAATTATTCCTGCTGGTAATAAGGTTTGTGACAATTGAAGTTTCCCTTATATCCTCATCTTACCTTTTTAACAAATAGCACAGATCAATTGTCCAGGTAGACTGGTTGAAACCCTCCTCCTGGCATATGCGGTCAAAGTTTTCCAGCATCTCTGTTCTTTGTTCTTCGGACAGCAACATGATGACACATGAGACTCCACAGTCCCAACTATACCTCTGTTTATAGTGTTCTAGACGGTGTTCCACATACCCTGCAGAAATATATGTTTTAAGACTGGTATGTTTAACAAGTAGCTGGTAATCCTGACTGCTTAGTCTAAGGTTGTTGGTTTGACACCCACTAAACAATTGTGTGATAAGCATAAAAAAAATTCAGACAAGTGCGAGTTCGACTCGCCCACCGAGGGTTCCATATACATTTTTAGGTACATATTATAAACTAGCTGACCCGCGCAACTTCGTCTGCGTCTCTCAATAGTAATAAATTTTCTCCTTTTTTGAAACATTCTTCATTGGTGCTCCGCTCCTATTGGTCTTAGCGTGATGATATATAGTCTATAGCCTTCCTCGATAAATGGGCTATCTAACACTGAAAGAATTTTTCAAATCGGACCAGTAGTTCCTGAGATTAGCGCGTTCAAACAAACAAACAAACAAACTCTTCAGCTTTATAATATTAGTATAGATAGTTCAGAAATTTAATTATGCAGTTTTTGCCGAGCGTTGCCCAAAATTCTGTTTCCAAAACCTAACATTACTTATATTTTGAGTTTTATAAGAGAAATTGTACTTTGATGATAGATAAGGTACTTTAAATAAAGACTATATTTTTTACTAGCTGTGTTACCCGCGTTTGTTGTTATAACCGCGGGCAACGCCGCGGGGCAAAGCTAGTCTAAAAAAAGTCGCCTAAGTTACTCCTTACGTCATCAGCTATCTGCCAGTGAAAGTCCCGTCAAAATCGGTTTAGCAGTCCAGAGATTACCCGGAACAAACAGACAGACAAAAATTGAAAAAAATGCTATTTTGGCATATGTACCGTGTAAACATACAATATATGCATTTAGTAAAAAGCGGTTATTTTAATATTACAAACTCCAATTTTATTTATTTGTATAGATGATTTAATTACAAATGTATAGTTTTCAGATTTTTCCCTGTACTTTTAGTATAAGACGATGTTAATTGCCAAATTTTAGAGTATAACTCTGTAATATCACGTCAACAGGCAGTACCCTATGAATTTTGATTTCCTTTAGTATGTCGAAATGTGTGATTTTAGTTGGATAAACGACTGTATCTTTCGTTAGGTGTAACAGCCTCAAGGGATCATAGACCAGAGTATATAGTTTTAATTTTAACTCGATAACTCCACGCATTCCCGAGATATGGTCTGGACAAACAGACAGACAACCCAAAGCAATCCCATGAGGGTTCCGTTTTTTCCTTTTAAGGTACGGAACCCTAAAAATTGTTTCTATTATATATTAAGTAATAATAATATATTATCAGTATGTTTATCATTTGTCTAGTTACTACAGTACAAGCTCTGACTAGTTTGATATCAGACACATGTGTGAAAAGTAACATGTTGGAAAAAAGTTGATGTATATTGAGATTTTCATGATACAATTTTGTTCCCTAGTTTTATATTGACTAATAAATTATCAATTAAGTGGCCTACCTATAATTCATATCAACTTATGAACCTTAAATAAGAATATCGGATTTCTAACCACAGCTGTTGCTGAGCTAAGAATCTTTGTCCATTGAGTCTCAAAGCCCTTCAGAATATGAATATATAATATATTCAGATGATATCTTTCTAATTAAACAAAAAAAATAATTACAATATATTTTTTGTCAGAATTTAAAATAAATCTTGTTTTAATAGTATAATAAGAACGCTTACGAGCAATTAAAATCTTCTACAATCATAATCATCATATGGAATCATTTAATGATATTTAATCGTATAAATAAATAAAAAAGCAATAATATGACTTACCATCGCTTTGAGCTGACATGGTGTTATCTAAAGTTCTTTTCTCCCTATTGCTAATCTAATCGTTGATCTGTTATGTAGTGTGACTCAATTCATTTTCTATGTATACTTTATCAACATTTTTTAACGATTTTTAGTCTAGACATTCATAAAAATAACTGTTTGTTGTGACCTCTTTACACGTTCCGTTTTAAGTAGGAGGAGTCGAGTCTCCAGGACTGACTGATAGTTATGTAGTTGTATTTTCTAATTTCTTTTGTTGAATTCTACTGTGGAGTCTTGCGTAAAATGGAATGCTTTACCGGATACAAGTGTCAAAGAATGGTCACAGATTGTACAAATAGCACAGATAAAGAATACTACAAGTATTTTTTCTTTGATTTAGGTATGTGTGTTACTGTCTTTTAGTTGTTGTTTTTTATTCAATGCAATTTTTTTAATTTACTTTTTATACACTTACGAATTATAAAACAATAAAAGGAAATAATATGTTACATTTCATGCCCTTCTTTACCAATTTAAAGAGCAATGATAGTTTACAGATTAGATTCAGATACCTTGAACACTGCTGTGCTGTTCTATGTCCACATTTCTTATTAAATAAAAGTAATTTTCGATAATCAAATGATTCGATTATATTTAATCGTGTCACTGTAGTCATCTTGTCCACTAAATCGGTTTTTTTTTTGTAGTAGAAATAAAGTCCTATCTGGTCCATCCCTTTTGAGTTTTTACTTTTTTGTCACTTAGAAACTAATTTTTAAATTCCAAAAGCCCCAATTACGTATTTGAACAACATCTTAATTAATATCTGTATCAATCAGATTGACAGGTGACACAGACTTTGACAATCAGCTGATGGCTTTCTCGAACGAAATACGAATTTCGTCTTTAAATTACAAAAAGTAATTATGGCGTTAAGAACGGTGTTCTTTAAATTAAACAACATGAAGGGCGTAGTCCATCAAGGTTTTAGGCGGTGTAAGTTCGCCACTCAAACGAGAACAACTGAGGACATGAAGCCCGGTCAGACCCACTTCGGGTACCAAGTTGTTAATGAAGAAGAAAAATCCAAAAAAGGTTGACATTGTCTTTTCATTATAAAATGATTGTACCTTAATATTCCGTAATAATTTAATAAGTTATTTACCATAAATAATGTTGTAAAATATAAAAGATTTAGGTTATGTACAATACATAGGTATTGTACATATCAATCATCATCACAATCATCTTTAAGATCAATCTTATCACCAAATATCTTATCTTATCCGTGAGGTGACGGATTAAGAATACAAATTGTCACCACCCCAATTCATCCCGTGGGTGTCGTAAGAGCCGACTAAGGGAGCAAACTAAGCAGGACAACAGCACTGCAAAGAGAAGGAAAACTTGAAACAAACCCTATACCAACCCGTCTCGCCAGCGTGGTATAGTAGGCCAAAACCTCCTTTCTAAGGAGAGGCCTATGTCCAGCAGTGGACTAGTATAGGCTGTTGATGTTATCACCAAAACAAAACATGGTATGGCAAACTGTGGCGTGGCGAACTCGTAGTTTATTTGACTACCACGTGGGTCGCTGGTTCGATTCCCTAATATGCTTATTTGCTTTGATGTTAGCCTTTCTGTGCATAACAATAGTATACATAAAAAAACGTAGATTATTTTTGTAAAAAAAAAAAAAAAATTACGAGCAAGCCTCACAACAGTCCCATATAATGGCAACAGCACTGCAAAAAGAAGGAAAACTTGAAACAAATCCTATACCAACCCGTCTGGCCAGTCTGCTATAGTAGGCCAAAAGCTCCTTTGTAAGGAGAGGGCCATGTCCAGCTCTGGACTATTAATGGCTGTTGATGACAATGTGACCTTAATAGGTAGGCTGACTTTGCTCATTAAAAATAATAAAATATGACATACATTAATAAATAATTCTTCTGTTCTTTATAGTTCATGAGGTATTCGAGACGGTTGCAGAGAAGTATGATCTGATGAATGATGTTATGTCAGCTGGCATTCATAGGCTGTGGAAGGATATATTCATACAGAGACTTGCTCCTGTGCCAGAAACAAAGCTACTAGATATGGCTGGGGGCACCGGTGAGTGTTATATTCACATCCATCTCTCGCTCCTTGATAGAAGGCATCAATTGGTTCTGAGCCTTTCCTTAATTAAAGCTCTTCGCATCTTAAAGGCAGTAATGATGATTTTAACAGTAAATACTAGGCAAAACATGTTATGCATGAAATATATTTTAACACCATGTAGCCTTGAGATATAACTTGTTTTTAAAAGTATGCAAGACTGAGAAGAGTTCATTCTTTCTACTCGAATCCCCTGCTTCGAAGACCTAGGGGTTCAAAAATTCCCTGGTGTCTCTAGACCCACGAGTGGCTGGAACCTTGGAGTTCAGGCAGTGGCTTCAAATAGAAAGAACGGAAGAAAAGAATAAAGGTCATAGCTCATTACACCCACCTGACCAGCACCACCTCACTCGGTGTCCACTGGTTGTGTTGGGGTGGACGCTGTATTGTCAACCAGAAAACGATACGACAGAGTCAAAGACTTTCAAGGGAGAGCGGGGTCCCGCTGATGCATTGTCCTCGCTCGTAAACCACTCGCGAACAGCGCGAGGTTACCGAGTGGTCCACTCGTCGTCCGCGCATGGTCAACCCCCGGAGTTGATGTAGTGAGCGTATACGCATAGTATTCCATACAAAGGCGGTGTTGGTCGGGTATCGGGTGGCTTGAGCTTAAATAGATTAATAAAATATACTTAAATAGTCCTATTTTGTTAACTTACAGGTGATATAGCATTCAGATATATTAAATACCTACAGAACCTAAATGCCACCGACGCGGGGCGTAGCAGCGTCACCATCTGCGATATCAACCAACACATGTTAGACGTCGGAAAAGTGAGAGCAAAGAGGTATACCTACATGTTTCACTGTCTGTTTCAGCATGGTCTGTAATCGTAGATAGTATATATGGTTGTACTCGGTCGTGTGCAGTGCTTGACACTGACAGGTCCCTTTGCTTCATTTTAAAGGACCCTTGTAGTTCCCGAAAATATATAGTTTGGAATCATCAAAGAAAAACAACTGAGTACAATAGTATAGCTTTTATAGGCACATAAGTAATCTAACATATAAAATTCTCGTATCACGGTGTGCGTGGTTGAACTTCTCCGAAACGGCTCGAACGATTTGCGTGAAATTATGTGTGCATATTGGGTAGGTCTGAGAATCGGCCAACATCTATTTTTCATACACTTATTTTTTCTTTGATTTTGAAATAATGTATATGGCAAAACAACGTTTGCCGGGTCAGCTATTATGATATAATTATTATATGTATAGGCGTGTATAGTCCGATGCAAAGTTAATGGCGGCTCGGAAGATCGTGCGTTTCGATGCGCAGAACACAGTAATACACAACAGCTAGACGTAAAAGAGCGCGGAGGCAGGGTGACACACGACTCGCATGCTTTGTTGTGTGTGAGTTACATCCGTACTCTGCACATGCGTAGGTATAGTCGAGTTGACATGACTGTCTGAAGTTAGCTGCGTACACAGGTGTGCGCAGCTAACTTCAGATCTGCCATTCAGTTTGCATCGGACTATACCATCATTTCTTTTATTTAAAAAGAATTATTCAGTCTGTCATTATTACAGGCTTGGTTACACAGATGAATCGTGCGGAGTGGATATAGACTGGGTCTGTGCTGACGCGGAGAAGCTCTCCTTTGCGGATGAAAGTTTCAATGCGTACACCATCGCATTCGGCATAAGGAACTGTACACACGTAGACAAAGTGAGTTTAGTGTAAGAATAAGTAAAGACTTGGGCGTACGTACTTAGCTTTAAGCCCAAAGGGGGGGGGGAGGGTTCTGAATTATTTTACAGACCAGGGGGAATGGATTTTTAAGAATCAGAATCAAATTTATTTGCAAAAATATTGTGACAAATGGTGTTAACAATGAGTAGTAGTAGATACAAATATTTGGACCAGAATAGTGGGATGCAAAAAAATATAATAAAATCAAAATAATTATGTCAAGCAGAGTAAAAAAGAAAAAACATTAGTTCAATACAAATTTCTTTTCTTTTTTTTATACAACTCCCGCATTAGGATTATATTCTGTGTTGCGGGGGACTTTACAAACATACATGAAACGGACACAAAGAACACCCAGACTCAGAACAACAATTTGTGGATCACACAAAGTGTCATCCCATGTGGGGTTTGAACCCACAACACTCGGCGTAGTAGGAAGGGGCGTGCCGACCGCTTCAAACACTACGCCATCCGTGTAGCCAGTAATTAAATAAGAGGGCATCAAGGATATAACACATATACAGATAAAATCAATCTGTAGGTGTGTATGTTTGCAGGTGCTAGATGAAGCTTACCGTGTGCTGTCGCCGGGCGGTCGGTTTATGTGTCTCGAGTTCAGTCAACTGCCGAACGACACATTACAGTGGTATGTCTTGCCTATTTACTCTTTAGTAACTCTTTACCTGCAGAACGCTTAGAGATACAGGTTCTCGAGTTAAAGCTAGGTATAAATTCTTGATTAGAAATTTTGGTGTACAACCAAATGTGTTTATAAATTGAATAAAGTTTTAAAATGCTAGAATATTAAGAGTAGTACTAATACGTCTGGTATTAAGTTCTTTGCCAGACTCAGTGCTCTTGGGTCCGATATAATGCAATATGGTGATGGCGTGGTGTGCCAACACCTTTGAGCGAAGAATGCGAAGAGAGTTATTCCATAAAATAGCACCCTAATTAATAATTGTAAATGGTTTTATAACAGTGTTAGTAAATAAATAATAGTAATTCCCTACATTAAGTCTATATAGTGGTTAATTTGTTGCATTCTCAGGGTCTACGATCAGTATTCCTTTCAAGTGATCCCAGTACTTGGTCAGCTGTTTGCCGGACAATGGAAACCCTACCAATATCTAGTTGAAAGCATCAGGCAGTTCCCTAATCAGGTATTTCACAGAATTGTTAATAATTCAGACTTTGACAGAATTAGAATGTGGCTAAACTGACACTGCAACTCTGCTTGAGTTGCAGTGTCAGTTTAGCCACATCCCAGGGTGCACCAGGAGGGTGACAGGTGAGGCCATCTCAGAATGCAGAAGCAGGCCGGGGTGGCGGCGAGCGCGTTGCGAAGCGCGCTCGCTTCCAGGGAGCACAGGGAACATGGGGTTCCCACACGGGGGGGTCGTCTACTCGTCTTTAGATGACCCGAGGTATGTCGGGGCACCAGGGACTTCCTTTCTAGGGTATACCTGGTTCCCCGGCTATTAGTACCCGAGACGGCGTGCGGTTTTAGTCGGTTCGTGTCCGACATGCCACCTACAGGTGATATCCGAGGGGATTTCCGCACGGAAAAAAAAAAAAAAATCGTGCACCAGGAATAAACGTCATAATGACGGGACCTCTTGTAATGGGAAGAACTTGTCCTGAATTTTTTTGTATAAACGGAATTTCGCGATAAAATTGGTTTCGCCATTATGATGCGTTATAATGACGAGACTCTGTACTCCAAAATTACAACGAATCACATCATTCTGATCTAACCAATATTTAGCATCTGATTAAGTACTTCCAAAAATCAACAGGGGGTGACTGAGATCTTAGTAGTTTCTTAACAAAATTAATTTTTCTTTTATGACTATCTACAGCCTGAATAATTTAACGAGCCAAAATACTTTAAGTAAAAAGTGGCAGCTACATTTCGTGCAGGCGCTTTAATATTGATTATATTATCATTATTTGTCCTAATCGATATTACTATTTAAATATCGATTAGGCCAAGCAGGAAAAATATTATTAGATTATCAGATGCTAAGCACTGGTTCGATCAGAATGGTGTGATTCGTTGTAATTTTGGAGTACAGGCATGATCCCGTCATTTTAACGCATCATAATGGCGGGACTTTTATCGTGTAATTCCTTTTATACCGTGTGAGGTACAAAAAATTCAGGACAAGTACAAAATATACGTGGCAGAATCTTTTAATTACAAGAGATGGCCCCGTCATCTGAATAACCATAATATCCCTTACATACTACATAACACTGAATTAAAAAATAACCAATTCACCTAAAAGAAGCTCCCTGCCAGTTCAGTTTTACTCTTGCCGTCTCTTGTCTCCGGTCTTTCTTAGTCATCATTAGTGCACTATTTATTCCCAGGAGTAAGCAGTTCTCAGTTGATCAACTATAATATATTTAGTGTTCTTTATATGTTCAGATGCTCGAGGACTTGTGATTGTACCACAGCTTGGGTAACAAAACCCTTAATGTCTTCAGTCAGCTTGATCTAAGTTTATACCTAATGTTACATTTTCCAGGAGAAATTCAAATCCATGATTGAAGACGCCGGCTTCAGACAAGTAACATATGAGAATCTTTTGTTTGGCACATGCGCTATACATTCAGGGTTCAAGATTTAAGAAGCCAGAGTTGAGTGAAGTGGAACTGTGTGGTACCTACATAGCTAGGTTGTGTCTGTTTGATGCGTGTACTACTTTTGTAAATATAATATTGATTGTTAGTAAATAATATACGGGTTTATTTTTTTGCGGACCTCAGTTTTAGAAACTGCTTTCGATAAAATAATATTATTTCGAAACTCGTTTCGTAAATTGTTTCTTATCGAAAAACCAGTTTAAAAAAATAAAAGCCGTGTGGTGTTGTGGGACACCCGATAGGAACGAAGTTGTGACGATCGAGTAAAACTGATTCGACACGATTTTAATTACAACGCCATCTATGAAAGCGGCTATTACCTACATATTTTCCAGTTGGTTTCTAATTAAAACAATTTATACATTGGTAAAATCTCCTTGAGAAATGATTTCGACGACCGGATGGCGTAGTGGTTTGTGTAACGGACTGCTATTCCAAAGGTCGCGGCTTCGATTCCCGCTCAAGTCAAACATTTGTGTGCATGAACATTTGATGTTTGATTTGGTCTGGGTGTTTCTATGTATAAGGTGTATGTATTTACAAAAAAAAAGTATATATGTATTTATATCAGTTGTCTAGTACCCATAGTACAAGCTCTGCTTAGTTTGGGACTAGATGGCGTTGTGTGTATGTGGTAGAATATTATTATTTCCTATTTATTCAATAGATGGCGCCGAATGACTGACAAAGTGGTTACAACTTTTCGTGAGAATTTTTTTCTTCTAGCCCCCTTTCACGTGTGCGTTACCCCAGCAAAATAATGTTGAAAATGGTCATTTAAACTTTATAGATAATTAGTTGCTCCCCTTCTGTAATTGTTAAGCACATTTTTAAATTTGTTTCACTTAAACTTCTTTAGTTATTTCAAAAAAACATTTCCTGCTGGAGTAACGTTTGAAACGTTACCGCAGCCAGATATTTTCTTTTTTAATTGTAATATTGAAATAAATTTTAGCTAAATAATTAGTTATCTGGACTAGGTAAATGTTACAACTTATTTGGTATTTGTATTTTCTTCGGCTGCGAAGTTATTCGAAATCCTGCTGGAGTAACGTTTGTGGGTTTGCTGGATCTCTGAAACGGGTAAGCGGATCGTAACCATCTTTTGTACATAACTTCTTAAGCATTAGTTTTAATTTGTTCGACAATAAAATAACAAAAATAATGGACCGTTTAAAAATTATTTAGGTAAGTATGAAAACACTTAAATACGTCCTAACACTTTAAATAAGACCTCTAAAGACTTACTTGAAACGTTATTCTATTGCTTGTACCTTCAAATGTATACGAATGTTTGTAAGAATACTGTAAGTGACTAAAAAGTTATGATGAAATGTAGCTCTCCACGTTCACGATCACAATGTGTGCGGCCTTTTTTGGCCACCGATAAACCTGTGTGTGGATATATAAACTGAATGTTATGCCAATAATTAGTTATTTAGTTCAGTTGTCTACCTGTAGAATTTCAGCGTCGTACATATGATAATGTACGAGATAATTAAATAAAAGTCATTAGAAGGTGCAAGTCCGTGGTAATCCGACCATGTTTAGGTGGCTACAAAAAAGCGATCACCCAGTACATTGCGCTGTCTTTTAAAATGTTTAGTGTAATACACCTTACGATTTCGGTACAGTTGCGTACAGTGTTAAATACATTCAATATTTATTCATTATTATTTCCTATTATTTATTTTGTTTTTTTCCCTAATTGAGCTTAAGCACTAGTTTCTTTACTTAAAATTTATTTAGTCTTACTTTACTACCGGAGCTACAATCAACAGAAAATCTGCACTGGTCCGCTAAAATTATAAATATGTAGATACATGTATGAACGATTCACCTGACTGCAATAAAACGAAAATTTAAACCAATAATAAATCGTTTCATTTCTTTGATTTTTTTTGTAAAGAAATAACACTAAAGTAATTGTATTTTATTTTGGGGTGTATAGAGCTTAGACTTGAATGCATCAAAATATTTAAAGCAACAAGTCATCTACAATAAGTTAAAATAGACCGAATAGTAGAAGAATACAGTTGTAAATTAGAATGCATCAACATTGCATCGCCCAACAGTCGTATACCTCGTAAGAGTAGGTAATATTGTTCTGTGGTCTATACCTAGAACTGAGAATTATCTATACCTATGTACCGTACGTTGAGCGTTGAGCCCGTGACTGTTGATTTCTGTTAAAAACGAACAGTTGTTGAATGATATTTTGATATAATAACGGTAACTTAATTTATCGAGTGAAAGTGATACATTTTTATAGATAAAATTATTGGTCAGATAATATTTGTCAATCAAGAATCGCTGATAATACAACCTTCGCTAGAACGCGGGAGGGGAGGGGCGAAGGGATACTTCATTGTTTGCAATTTGCATCTAGTGCACTAAACTTGACCCTTAGGCAGATAATATACGTGTTGTAAAGTACGTGTGCGCTTCCGCTTTCTATTTTTGTAAATATTTATCGTATTCTTGAGAGTTCTTCGATATGTGTGTACCTAATTACTAATAATTGGCATTAATGCTAATTCGATTCAATTTAAGTAATTGTAAATTCTTGTCTTAGGATATTAATTACTAATGCTAATATTGAAATTTCGTTCAGGGTGAACAAATTAAAAACGATCATAACTTTTAGGTAGGTATATCACTTATTACTAATTTTACATAAATAATTTATTTTATTATAATTTAACTCACCGCGATTTTGTGATCAAATATTTTATTTTCTCCAACATTATTACAGAAATAATGCAATACAGAGTTTGTTCGCGATATGCTAGCCTAAGTCGATTCATCACTTAAAAAAATCCCCATCTATTCACAAAATACCTATTTACAACGCATACGTTACACTCTTCAAAACTTATCATTTCATTTCATATTTCTTAAATTACCTATACCTACCCTAAAATTAAACTTCAATTAACAAATACTACGCAGGTACCAATTCTATGAACAACTATAAACAATTCACCTAAACATTACGAGAAAACAAAAGCATTCAAAACAATACCTAATCTCCAGGCTGATAACTAAGTAATTATGCAATAAACAATCCTAAATAAAAAATATTTAAAAAACATGTAGTTTTTTGTAACACTTATGTACATATCCGTAGTAAACTTGCAAATAATATCCTACATATTTTAAAAGCCAGCACAATGTACTGGGTGATCGCTTTTTAACCGACTTCAAAAAAAGGAGGAGGTTCTCAATTCGACTGTTTTTTTTTTTTTTTTTTTGTATATTTGTTACGCGATTACTCCGGCAATTATAAACCGATTTGAATAATTCTTTTTTTATTTGGTAGGTCATACGTCAGAGGTGGTCCCATTGTCACCAGGTCAGGATCTGATGATGGGATCCTGGGGAAATCGAGGGAAACCCTCAAATTTTGTAGGCATATACACTGTTTATCAGAAATTATCTTAATCTATGTAGATTTTTGCATCTAATGGTCACCATCTGATGTTGCTGAGCTGATGATGAAGCTGTTGATGAATGGTTTAGGAGTATGGGATCTCTGTAACAAAATTATGTAATACCATCGAATTTGAATGTGTTTGAGTCTAATTAATAAGAACTCCGATCCTATGTGATATTCAGGGTCTGATGATGGAGACGGTAAATAGCCATGGGAACTCTGTAATAAAATAAAGCAATTCCGCCGTGTTTGTGCTCATTTGATTCGTCTCGACTAGGAGCTTCATGCTAGTCGATTTTTAACCAACATCAAAAAAGGAGGGATTTTGATTCGACAGTATGTTTTCTTTTTAACCGACTTCCAAAACACAAAAGAGGAGGTTCTCAATTCGCCTGTATTTTTTTTTTATGTATGTTTGTTACGCGATTTCTTCGTCAATTGTGGACCGATTTTCAAAATTCTTTTTGTAATCGAAAGGGTATGCTCCCGAATTGGTCCCATTACCACCAATTCAGGATCTGATAATGGGATCCTAGAGAAATCGAGTGAAACCCTCACAATTATTGGGAATTTGACAGCCCCGACAACGTGTTTTAGCTACGAGTATTTCTTTAGCCAAACAAACCATGGCAACTGTCAGAGACTGCGCGATGTGATGCGCAGAGAACTTGCAGTATTTATGTCACCACAGTAATTTTCGTTGTATTAAGAAGAAAAGGTTGAAATTTTGTATTCTATCTTGTTAAAATAATTCGGATAGACGTTTTGTTGCTATGGATGGCATCGCATTTCGTTTGTAAGTAATTTTATACTTAACTAGCTGACCCGCGCAACTTCGTCTGCGTCTCTCAATAGTAATAAATTTTCTCCGTTTTTGAAACATTCTTCATTGTTGCTCCGCTCCTATTGGTCTTAGCGTGATGATATATAGCCTATAGCCTTCCTCGATAAATGGGCTATCTAACACTGAAAGAATTTTTCAAATCGGACCAGTAGTTCCTGAGATTAGCGCGTTCAAACAAACAAACAAACTCTTCAGCTTTATAATATTAGTATAGATTTATTAAAATAGTTCTGGAAAAAACTCTTAAATTTTGGGTGGGTCAACTAGGTTAATTTCTAACATACTAGTATTAACCCTTCTAGTTGGAACTCCTTCTATAAAATATTGAGCATATTTGTTGAGTAGTCTCACTAAAGCTTGCCTATCTTCACCTTCGAGATCAGTGTCAATTGAATCGGAAGTTATTTTGTTCGGTTGCAACTCACAAGAATTTGACTGTTTCTTAGAAAAGAATTTAAGCTGATCTTGATCAGTTTGGACGCCAATGTCATTTTCATATCCTACACTAAAAATGGTAAAATAAACCCTTTTAAAAAAAAAAGTTGAACAGACTTCAAAAAAACACCGACAAAGAGCACTAAAAATTAAAAAATAATTACAAATCTAAGTAAAAAACTATAATAAGTACCCTCAATGTAACAGGTAACATTATAATACCAATAGTCCCTTCTAGTCTGTTTGAAGTCGGTGCCAAGCTCGATGTACAATAAGTAATACTGGTCTATGTCAGCTTTATATTAGCACAATGAAAAATTAAGAATTCAAAATAATTCTAATGAAACATCGAAGATTTTGTTAATTAATAAAGACCAACCAGATCAATTACGTGTGCAAACTTATCAACTACTTATTAAAGAATTCAAAATAATAATATAATTGGAGATGTGCGTCCACTTTAACTCGTTCATCATGTTTTGCGCAGCGTGAAGACTGTTGCAGCTGCCGCGCTACATTCTACCATGCCTATCAAGCACCTATTTGCCTTGGCACCGACTTCAAACTGACTAGAAGGGACTATTGGTATTATAATGTTACCTGTTACATTGAGGGTACTTATTATAGTTTTTTACTTAGATTTGTAATTATTTTTTAATTTTTAGTGCTCTTTGTCGGTGTTTTTTTGAAGTCGGTTCAACTTTTTTTTAAAAAAGGGTTTATTTGTAGCCACCTAAACATGGTCGGGTTACCACGGTCTTGCACCTTCTAATGACTTTTATTTAATTATCTCGTAAATTATTATATGTACTACGCTGAAATTTTACAGGTAGACAACTGAACTAAACAACTAATTATTGGCATAACATTCAGTTTATATATCCACACACAGGTTTATCGGTGGCCAAAAAAGGCCGCACACATTGTGATCGTGAACGTAGAGAGCTACATTTCATCATAACTTTTTAGTCACTTACAGTATTCTTACGAAAATTCAAAAACAACAAGCAATAGAATAACGTTTCAAGTAAGTCTTTAGAGGTCTTATTTAAAGTGTTAGGACGTATTGAAGTGTTTTCATACTTACCTAAATAATTTTTAAACGGTCCATTATTTTTGTTATTTTATTGTCGAACAAATTAAAACTAATCCTTAAGAAGTTATGTACAAAAGATGGTTACAATCCGCTTACCCGTTTCAGAGATCCAGCAAACCCACAAACGTTACTCCAGCAGGATTTCGAATAACTTCGCAGCCGAAGAAAATACAAATACCAAATAAGTTGTAACATTTACCTAGTCCAGATAACTAATTATTTAGCTAAAATTTATTTCAATATTACAATTAAAAAAGAAAATGTCTGGCTGCGGTAACGTTTCAAACGTTACTCCAGCAGGAAATGTTTTTTTGAAATAACTAAAAAAGTTTAAGTGAAACAAATTTAAAAATGTGCTTAACAATTACAGAAGGGGAGCAACTAATTATCTATCAAGTTTAAATGACCATTTTCGACATTATTTTGCTGGGGTAACGCACACCCCTTTCACAACGCGCGATAAGGAACTTCGTTCCAAAATCTATTTCGAAACTTGGTTTTGTAGGCGGCCGAAGGGAAATTTTCTCCTTACTACAGAATTGAAATCTGAAAATACGTCATCAATCGCACTTACTTCCATCTAATTTAAGAGGTACCGTTTGACAGTTGTGACAGAAATAAAAAAAAATCAAATTCAAGTCAAAGAAATCGATTACTAAAATATCTGATTCTTAATTCGATATCATTTCTTAGTATGTACTAATAGATTACAGTTTTATGTATGTGACTATAAAATCCAGTGTAATGGCACATCATAAGTTTGCCTAGTAAATCTTAGTACACTAGACTTGGACAAGAGAGATTTTTGCTTAAAAGATTTATTTAAAATTACATTAACTTACTTTAAATTTTAATTATGCGTTTTCGTTGAGATTTGGATGTCAGATGAATTAGTATTATTAAACGGCGCGGTGTTCCAAATTCTGAGAATTTTCAGATTCTTTAACTCAAACTTAATTAGTGATTGCTTTTATAATACTCTAGTGACGCGTAACAAGCTAATTACCTACTCATCGTCAAGTACCCTAGGTCGCGAACTTTTTAGCCGCCCCTAGTACAAATCTAATTATCTTCTCAAAATATAGTTTGTCAAAAAAAAGATAGTACCATAAATGTGATATTACAATATGCATACAATATTACAATGTCTTTACTTTTTTTTTTTTGAGAAACTGGCCTTTTTTGCAATGGAATCCATTTTGTATTAGACCTTTTTTTGTGTTTATTTATGTTTAAAATTAAAGACACCTGTGTATCTATTTGGTGTTAATATTAATACAGTTTGAATCTTGTCCGTGTCCATCCAACAGCACCCTGCCACTTTGACCAAATCCTGTAAGAACCGAGATAGGCTGGACTAGCTACCACACAAATATAATAAAACAACATACTCTTTTGTAAGGAATTTATTAAGTCCATCAAACTGTGTTGGTCTTTGGAATGCAGATCCAGTATCTAAATTACAATTTCCACACATTACATCTATGATATCGTCACAATACAGTACGCGGGAGCCCGACAGTTACAATCTGCGCCGGAGTCGCCGGCGCCTAACTAACGATCACCTCGACTCATCCCTCTCGCTCACACTCGCACTCGCCCCGTCTCGCTCGCACGCAGGTAGGTTGTATGAAAGCTCGTAAAGCATGCTAATTATTTATATATCTGACACTGAGTTGTTAGGTCTAACACACTAATGAGCAAAGCTAATAGAAAATCTCGTCACATATCTTCACTGACCGACGTCCTAAGTCTAGGAAATAAACGGCAGACATCGAGAAGCAAATAAAGTGTGAGTTAAGGATATCCAAACAAACATTAATACTCTGTATCGAGCGTGCACTCAACATAAGTTATTTTGCTATTAATTATAATAATCATACCCAAAGGTCCGTGATCCGGTGTGATCCAGCGCGGAGCTCGTCCAGCGGAGCGATCGTTCCGATCCCATCCGTGCCGATACGAACCTCCGAAAGGAACATTACATCCGCAAGAGAAAAGTCAACCGTTCCGTCCGTCCGATCCTACCCGCGACCACTACGGCATCCTGACTCACACCTCCAGCCAAGCACATCCAACGAGCCCAATCCACAGTGGATGAAACAAAAGAAAATGCTTTTAATTATATACAGTCGTCGTGGCAGAGTTCCGTCGAGGAGCCGAGCGCGATACTCCGACCGCGGGACGGTCGGGGGATCGCGCTCGACCCCGCCCGCCCGACATACCCCACCGTTACTCGATACAACCAGCAAGAGATGCGCCTACCACTCACTGTCCGAAGCCCTAGCCCTGTTACATTCTAAGTCCACTTGGACAGTCACGACACTGGATACTCGTTGTCTAAAAGGGAAAATAAACAGGCACCTAATAGTGTGATAAAATGTATTAAAATTAAAAAATATATATCTTCAATACCTAAATAGCTCTATAAAGCGACATTTATTATTATTTATAATAAGATATTATTATAATCGTCAACCTATCATTACAGTGTATATTAAAAATTAAATAGCCAATCACATGACTCAAACAATTTTGTAGATTACAATAATTAGACTACTTACGTAAAACGGAATCGACCCACACACCATCGTATAAAATATTTTGTTTAATAAACATACACAAGTACAATTTCACAAAACAGTTTTATTATTTTTTACCGCCTAACTTGGGGCAATTTGCGTTTAAAACTTGTCATCAAAATGTTTTGTTCAGTCAGAATTATCAGATCACTTTGATCTCTACAGCGTAGACAGAAAGTGCATTGTCAAAGCTTTCTGTATATGTAACATGATTTTAATGTGTGTGTCGATTGGTTTTGCATAAGTAGGTCTATTATATATTTATTTTCCTCTCATTGTATTACACAATTAATTGGATATGTTATTTGAGCGTACATCGACGATAAAATATAACCGCGAGTAATAATATCGAGTACTCGGCGCATCTCTAGTGTGTGTGTGTTGTGTATGCGATGTCGAGCTCGCGCAGTCGGGCATGCCAGTTAGTCTATTACATGATCACTTAAGCCTAGTGTTGTGTATTGTTGCCGGCGCATTGTCGATGGCTCGTCCTCACCCTCGCCGTCCGCAGCTGTCGAACATAGACACACATCACCGTCGGTACATTGTTTTCAACATCGATATATCGATGGGTAGTATCGATATAAAGTCACATCATTAACTCTGCCAACATGATTACTTTCTCTCAATTATCATCTTTATTTATGTTGTCATAATTATAATTCAAAACATACATCCTGTTTAATGTTGTTTTATAATTTGTCCGTTTTACAATTAGTATGTTGGATCATGGCTCAATTCATGATAATGGTTAGTTGATCAAACATTACGTAAATATGCTTCTAATCCTTTATATTTACAATTTATTCTCTCTTATGTTCAAATTTAGTGAAAGCATGGGGGGTACCGCAATCCCACAAACCTGAACGGGTCCTGTCCTTAGATTTTGTCCGACAAGGGTCCTTAAGTCCTTTTGAACATTCCAGATGAAGAATTTTTTCCAAAGTGTGTCCTTCCATTCCATTATGAATATATCAAAAAATTCAAAGTTATAACATAAATATGTACATTCTTTAATATCGAAACATTATTTCATCTGAATAAAATATGATTTAATTGAGCAACTAAAAAAATTCTAAGATACCCTAGCCATTATTAGAAGAATATATTCTGAATAATATAAATATCACAAATAATCTTTTTAATTAAGTGAGGTTCCAGGCAAAACAAAAAATAGGGGGATATAAGGTAAATTAATTACTTTTCTAAATGAGCAAAGGGTAATACAAAAGTCGTTCAAATATCAATAAATATAAGAAATATCCCTCCGCACAGCTTTTCTTGGCACACTAATAATTCCAGGGTTTCGAAATCTATTCCATCTACGAGTGCCATTGGTACTATAGTCACAAAATTTTGGATACTTTAAAATATGAGGGTAGTTGGAAATAATTTTCATCTAACGGAATCGACAACGTTAAGTAATTAATTCAAAGCAATGTAACATCTATTGATCACGTTAAGGTTTTTATTAATAATGGGTAATTAAATTTGTTTTACTTATAAATTGTTTGAAGTATTTAACTTACTGCACTTCTATTTATAAATTTAAAGTATTTTATAATTTCTATTCTGGTTGAATTTTAAAACTGTATATTCTGTATTTCTTTTTACTATTATTTGAAGTATTCGTTAATCGACTCTAGTTTGGATGTGTTGAAATTTTTTATAATATTTTAAGTAGAACATTCTAATCGACTAGCTATTAGGATATACTAGATAATTTTCTATCCGGTTATGGTCGACCACCCCAAAGTTTTCTAGACGGTGGAAATACAAATTTTAAAAAATGAGATCTATTTTTAGAATAATTATTATTATGAGTCCGCTGGCTTTGAAACTGTAGACGGTATCGCGTATCGGTAGTGCAAGCCGTGCGGAGGGAGGGCAGAGGGAGGCAAGGGTCGGCACGTACCTGGCGCTCAGTAGTTGTGGTCGCGCTCTCGCTCGCGCTCGCGTGAGTAGGAGCGGCGCACCGGCGAGTACGTGGGGGAGCCGCGCCGCCGCGGGGAGTACGAGCGGGACCTGCGGGGGGGAGACGATCACATCTCTTCTGTACCATAACCACATGCGACGCTTTCGACATTATTTAATAAAAGTTAATATTGCCTATTAGATTATAAATACTCAGGCGAACAAGAAATCATGTATTGTTTCAATCGCTTCACCGCTAACGGTATCCGATTCGTATTGTACCTTTATACGAATAACTAACACAGAAACACTGATATGCATCATGTGATCGATCAAACTGTTTAAGAACAATAACACAATTTAAAACGCTTAAATGCCTTACAGTAATTGCATAATTATATGTGTAACATCTCACCTACCGTCTATCAGACAACATTAGCACCGACGCTCATTAGTTAAATCACATTTAATTTAACCAATAAACGTATAAAAAAGTCAGACCTGCCCATTTTCGACCCTTTTTACATAATCACTCACACAGAAGGCCAATTCTCTGGATAAAAGTTCAGTCAAAATTCGATTCTGATCAACTCTTGATATCGCAACTATCATAAAAGGTATTTTCGTAGTAAAATAATAAATAAGGTTTACTAAGACCAGCAAACTACCGATGCAATTTTCGGTTAAAATACAATATAATCACACTACAGTCAACGTTGGGTGTACTGGAATACTTTACTACGAAAATACCTTTTGTGACAGTTGTGAGTTGAACGGAACTGAATTGTGAGCGAACTTTAATTACAAAAATTGTCCTTCAGATTGAAAAAAAACGATAGGAAAAATGTTACACATGAAGAAAATAAACTCTGTTTTCTGGTGTACAACATCAACCACTTTAAAAATACCTTTTATCTGATCCTTATTATATGATAATCATCCTCAAAGCGGTAATGAGTTGTCACATTCCTACACAATAATGATCCACATTCAATTTAACATCCCCTCCTCCCATAACACAGAGCTGTGTCCAGACCTGTCGCGGTCGCCGCTGTACCTGTCGCCTCCACCGCCGCCCCCGTAGTCCTCCTTCACACGGATGTACGACACCTCGCCCTGTAACAAACATTTTTGGTTAAGTCAAGTCATAAATGATTAAAGATGGATAGCTGTTGTGTCACCACACCACCCCTATTCATCCCTCGGGTGTCGCGACTAAGGGAACAAACTACGCAGTACAACAGCACTGCAGAGAGAAGGAAAACTTGAGATCAACCCTATACCAACCCGTCTGGCCAGCGTGGTATAGTAGGCCAAAACCTCCTTTCTAAGGAGAGACCTATGTCCAGCAGTGGACTGGTAAAGGCTGTTGATGTTGTGATAGCTGTTGGGCAAGCGCCATTTAATCCAGACAACTTTAACACCAGATAGCCAAACATCTAGAAATCAATCGAATATTAGACTCTTAATAACCCTATAGATGGATATTTGACAGAATATTGTAGACATGTTGTAGAAATCAGCTATAACACAAACAAGAAAATCTTACGTCCGGATGGCACGCGTAGGATCGGGACCGCTGGTCTTACAGCCATATTTCACAGCGAGGTTTTTATTCGCTTACCGTATCGCGTTCAATTCGATTTTTGAGAAAAAAAAAGCTGCGGTGAAATATCGCTCTGTGGATCCGTCCACAGAGCGATATTTCACCGCACCCTTAAATAATTTGATATATCTTAAAGATGTGTGATGTGTCTATGTATGAAAAATCTATTTAAAAAATATGTGTCCGTGTGGTGACGGATTAAGAATACGGATTGTCACCACCCCTATTCATCCCGTGGGTGTCGTAAGAGCCGACTAAGGGAGCAAACTATGCAGGACAACAAACCTGCAAAGAGAAGGAAAACTTGACACAAACCCTATACCAACCTAGCTAGCGAGGTATAGAAGGCCAAAACCTTCTTCCTAAGGAGAGGCCTATGTCCAGCAGTGGGCTATTAAAGGCTGTTGATGATGATGATGATTTAAAAAATAATTCATTATTATTAACGTCAAACACCTATATAAAATCGACTGTCTATGTAATCAGGGGGTCTCCTGTACGTACGCTGGTGAACAATCCTAACAAATATAGTAAATGCGGTTTATATTTCTTAGCATTAATGCTGTAACTACTGAACGGATAACCATCAACATTTCATAGAAAAGATCACTATGTTCCACTACACTAATCAATTATTAGTTTTTTTTTTTCCCAAAAATAAAGCTAATACTTTATAACTCAATACTGAATATATCATAACTTTTAGAATAAAACGTGACACGGCGCTTCCCCTCCGTGTAGTTTTTAATTGATTTAATGTTTCAATGTTACCTTGACACCTTTCGCTAGTGTCAAGGTGTGGTACCGATCAATAGTTACGTCTTTCGATCATATATTTTATAGATAGATACACCTCTTTATACGTACGTACACACATTCAACACATCACATATATATAGCTCACGTATAATGGTATCAAATGAATTTCTGACATGGCATGTTTGTAGAGTATTTAGGTTTTGTTGACCAAAGTATAGTGGCTTTACGTTGATATCTTATTGTTACTGAATTTGTAGAATATAATTGTTTTTTGTGTTGTTATGTGAGTGTACATAGGACATACGCTCACGCCTATATTACTGAAGAGGTAGGCAGAGGCGTATTAAGCGCAAAAAATATCTGATTGAGGTTATTCCACAACCGAATAGCTTTAAAAGAAACAGAATTGACAACGAACTTGTGGAATGATCTGGCATTTTAGACGGTTCTCCGATGTTATCAGGGATTTAGAATGCGTGTCGCGTAAGAAAGTAAACCTTATTCCATTTTACGAAAAAGGAGCAAGCTTATTGCTGTCAACCAGACTTAAGGGGGAGGGAGGGAATAATTAACGAAAAGGAAGATGAGAAGGCAATGGTGTGAATGGGATATTTTACGGATGGATTAGAGATTAAAATCAAATAGCATGAGCAGGTCAGAGTCAATTGTGATTCGAATTGGTTATTGCCGAAAAGTCCGAGCCTTCTAATCTTGTCTTTTAAGGCTTACCTAATTCTAGAATCAGTGTTGACGATAAAAAAGTCACAAATAATATATTATTTATTAGGTAAGTTAATATATCAGATATTTGGGAAATTTATTTAGTATTACACGACTGTGTGAGATTCTTATTAATAATATATTCTATTCTACTCGTAGCATCATTTTAATAATAGAATAAGTAATATCTTATGTAAAGATTTTTTTCTTTTTTTTTAAAGAGAACTCCCGCAATAGGAATGTGTCCTGTGTCGAGGGGGACTTACTGAAGTTGCTAATAAAGTTACATTTCCACAAACCTCGTGACTCCTGAACCTAGAATCGTCTAGTTTCTTGACAGCATACTTCATGTCCTCGTGGCGTAAGAACTCCACAACGCCAGTGCCGTCCTTAAAGGTATCGGCGAAGCAAACATCTCCAGCTTCTCTCATGTGATCCTTCAAGTCCTGCCAGGAGCCCGAGGGCGGCAGGCCGGTGACGAGCACGCGGTACTCGGAGCGACGCGCGGGGGGGCCGCGCGTGGCGGTGCGCGCGCCGAACCGCTCCGTGCCGCCCCGCCCGCCGCGCCCGCCCCCGCCGCCGCCCCCGCGGGGGAACTCTACGCGCAGGCGATAGCCGTCGTAATCGTAACCGTCGCGAGCTCGCACAGCGTCGTCGGCATCTCTGTAATCGAGTCGAACGTATCGTTAGATGGTTGTTGAAGAAGCACTAGGTGACTGCAAGAGTATATCGGCGTAACATCAATTTCTTTCAGATTGATAATGATGACGATAGCTTTATTTGTAGTTTATGACTCGGTAGTAGAAACACAAAAATAATAAATAAATCCTTTATGTTTCTTTTATTTATGTATGTTAGTAATTGTTGCCGTTTGACTCTATAGTATTGTGTTTAGCATTATTCTGTAGGAGTCAGTCAGTGATGCCTTAACCATCGCAGCATCCCTTTCTCAATACTTGTCATTACATCTTTAGACCCATACATGTGTATATTTTCATATGATTATGACCTTAATGTTAAACACATATAGTTGAACGAATAGTTTCGTGCGGAGTTTAAATACACCAATGACGTAATTAACTTTGAAAAACTACCACCGTGGTAAATACAAATAATGCAACAAAAAACTTGCAGCAATCCGTGTAGCAATAACAATCGTAAAATACTTGAAACATACCTATTTGTGGTAATTAACATTTTTGACATTGTAGCTAATTGGCAAGATTAAAACTGCGAGTAATTAAAGTGAATTAGTTTTGCAATGGAATTTATTACACACCTGCTTATCGCCCATTCATTTTGGTTTAAAAATTACTCGTACAAATTACCATAGAACAACCCCAAACTGCCCCAACATTTAATTACATATAAAACTCTTACTGCGTCATCGAAACATTAATGTTTAAATGTTCCGTATCATCTGGTAACATTGTATTATTAACAGACAACATGTGTACGACAAGATAACAAATTACGACACGGCTATCAGCAGTCATTTTCATATCACAAAAGTATTTACTGCTATTAAAACTAAATACTTTGTTTAGTACAGAATTGTGTTTATTTGTCATTAAATATATTGTATGTACAATTATGGCCGATGTACAGTAATGTTACTGGCTGACTTTTTTTTTTTATTTACTCACTTTATATTCAGCTTCACTTGTATGTGTTTGTAATCGACTCCTTTGATTTTGACTGACTTGAAACGGTCAGAATTCGTTCAAACTTTGTAGATATATCGAGGATCGATGACAATACACTAATTTAAAATAAAAAATAAATAAAAAAACACGCATTTTATAGAAAACCAAACTAAAAAATTGCGTGCTTTTTACTATTGACAACAGGCACCCAACGCTTTTTTTCAAATTTATTTTCTATTTTTTTGTTTGGTTTTCCATAAAAACCGTGTTTTTAGTTTTTTTTAACTATTTTTTTTTTTATCCTATTTCTTTTGTGTGTGTCACTCTCAGAAACTGTTTTTTGTTGTGTTTTGATTCAAGTATTGCATATATCTTTGTTATTCTTTAACAGGGTATGCAATTTTTGTACTGCCTTACCCTGGTATGAAGAATTAAATATTAAGCCTAGTCTACTATCATTAAAGCTTGACAGACAACTAAGTAAATTTTCTGATAAAGAGATTAAGATGGTTAAGACATCTTTTATAAATTATAACAACAAACCTATCTATAACATAGGTACTTTTTATTAGCATAATAACCACTGGGTCTCTGGGGTACCAGTCGCAGATAGTTGTACTCCATTTACCATGCCTGTCCCTACGACTGGTACCCCAGAGATGGCAAACGAAACAAAGGACGGCAACAAGCGAGATGGGCAGATGACCTGAGGCTAACAGCTGGACATTACTGGAGAAGGGTAGCGCGAGACAGAACCCAATGGAAAGTGATAGAGGAGGCCTATGCCAAGAGGCACTCTGAATTATGAGATATTTTATAAACTTAACTTCTAAACTGTTTAATATTGTATGTACTAATCTATACTAATATTATAAAGCTGAAGAGTTTGTTTATTTGTTTGTTTGTTTGAACGCGCTAATCTCAAGAACTACAGGTCCGATTTGAAAAATTCTTTCAGTGTTAGATAGCCCATTTATCGAGGAAGGCTATAGGCTATATATCATCACGCTAAGACCAATAGGAGCGGAACACCAATGAAGAATGTTTAAAAAACGGAGAAAATTTATTACTATTGAGAGACGCAAACGAAGTTGCGCGGGTCAGCTAGTTCAACATATATTCAGTCGAACATGACTGCTGGTTTCATGAAAAGGGACAGAAGTAACTGCTATAAGGATTACTTATTTTTCTAAATACAATTAATATTATGGAATAAAGTCAGTGCAAGGCGAGGTTGCTTCTAATATTAGCATAGTTTAAGTATCAATGTTTACAAATGGATATTCCCCAGCAACTGTCTTAACAAGTTTAGTAACTTACCTAACTAAATAATATTATTTCAATAATGAAATACCTCAAGAAATCCTTCATTAATTCACTATAAGCAATGAATGCATAAATTAAAATATTAATTGGGCGATTTGCACTAAAATGGTTTACACAATTTTCTTTAACACTTTTTTTACATATAATAGTCACATTTGTTCTGGAAAAACATGCTTATTACACATACACATGCTTGTGTCTTATTCCTGTCCAGGGTAAATGGAGACAATAGAATGATATTTGCCATGAGCTTCCACATTCATCAGACCTTTAATACACCCTCGTCAATTACAGGTACTTTTAACAAGGCTCTTCTTTAATGTATCAATCTGGTTATTATACATTTTGCTGGGCTCACTCTCACACCAATTAACTCAGTCACATGACCCTTATAAAAACTATTTAATTCGATGTCTGGTACTCATAACACAAGTAAATTTTACCATGTACACCAGAGTATTATACATCATCATTATTATCAACAGAGGGATATATATATGTTGGGCCTACTATACCATGCTGGCCAGACAGGTTGGTATACGGTTTGTATTAGTTTTCCTTATTTTTACAGTGCTGTTGGTATAGCGGTGGTGGTTTCTATCGTTAATCCGTCACCACACGGATAAGCACTATACAACACTACCATAATGTTTTCTTTTTTGTGTACACATTGAGATGCCTATATAGTATAGTATAGTATATATAGTTATTGTACAACCATTATAAAGAATAAAGTTATTATTATTATAATTAGATACTTCATGACACTTTCCTAGAATAGCATGGGAGGCTTTCTCTGTAGCTTAGTTTGAAGTCAATTTATTTGAATTGTATTTGACCTACTAACTATTGTGTTATGTTCATTGTTTCATGTTTATGCTTGCACATGTTACTCTCAATTAATGGATTCAGACTCAGATTTGCATACATCTTTTGACTTTCTATTTCAGTTCACTAAAATATTCTTTTATATCTATTATATATTTTACTACCTGACCCGCGCAACTTCGTCTGCGTCTCTCAATAGTAATAAATTTTCTCTGTTTTTGAAGCATTCTTCATTGGTGCTCCGCTCCTATTGGTCTTAGTGTGATGATATATAGCCTATAGCCTTCCTCGATAAATAAGCTATCTAACACTGAAAGAATTTTTCAAATCGGACATGTAGTTCCTGAGATTAGCGCGTTCAAACAAACAAACAAACTCTTCAGCTTTATAATATATCTATTATATATTTTATTTAAATGTCACTCACACATACTTGTAAAGAGTTAAACTTCCCAAGTCTATCAATTTCACCAAGTTAGCATTTTTTTTCAAATGAAATGTATGCTAAGACATATCATCAAGCATTGAAAAACAGCTACCATTTACTCTTCCTAAAGTATAGCTGAATATAATTTCTATATTTATCAACAATCTAGTAACCCAGGTTTGGGATTACACATTTAAGTATAGGGTGTTCTAAGTTGTATTCTTCTGTATTTGTTTTGCATTATTAACAGTTTTATAGGTTGTTTGGAATACAGAATGTCACCACCCCTATTCATCCCGTGGGTGTTGTTAAGAGTTGACTAAGAGAACAAACTACACAAGCCAAAGCACTGCAAAAAGACGGAAAACTTGAAACAAACCCTATACCAACCGGTCTGGCCAGTGTGGTATAGTAGGACAAAACAATGGACTCGTAAAAGCTGTTGATGATGATATTGAAGATGTGTTTACATTTAAAATAGAATTACCTATGTTTTATGTTTGAGTAAGAAGAAATAATTTATTCCTCATGATTTAACAACTTTTTTTGAAAATAATATTTTTTAAAATCATGAAAATGTCTATTTTACCAACTCTAGTTCCTAATTATTAATAAGAAAAAGCTATTAATCCCAATGTGATGATTTGGATTTTTATTTCATTTCTAGAGTAGTTTGTGCTGACTATTAAACATGGCTTAAGTACCCATGTATCATAACATACATGAGTATATCTGAGGCTTTAAGATATTCAGTATTATCTGAAGGCCAATTCTTGCAATAAAAGTTTGGTCTCAATTCAGTTCCAATCGACTTCACAAAGATCGATCTCACAACTGTTATAAATGGTATTTTTGTAGTAAAGTTTTAAACATTCAATGTTGACTGTAATGTGATTGTATTGCAACCGAAAATTAAATCGGTAATCAGCTAGTCTTTGTAATACTTTACTATTTTACTACAAAAATACCTTTCTGTTACGAGATTGAAAGTAGTTCGGAACTGAATTGTGACCGAACTTTTACTACGAGAATTGGCTTTCTGATGTGGATAACTAAAAATAAGACTGGACTATCTTGCTTATATACAAAATAATCTAAATGTTTTTCTGCAACATGGTACTCATCCGTCTATCCTTAACCCAATTTTACTTGGGGATTGATGCAGTATGTATTTTTCTCCCATTCTACTCTTTCATTCGTCATTTCTCTGTTTACTCCCTTCTTAGCCATGTCCTCTGTCACACAGTCCAGTCACCTGTTCTTTAGTTTTTCTCTTTTCTTGTACCTTTCAACTCCCATGCTTAACACTGTCCTCATCTCTCCACATGACATGTCAAACATGGTACTAATGTATGTATATAAAAAATCTGAGTGCTCCAACATTAACTAGATATACCAAAGGTTTGAACAGGTAAAAACAATCAAAATACTTGACTACATTTCTAGTAAATTCAAATGATAATAATAATTAGTCTACATAATATGGTACACACAGTCGTCGGATCCAGAATTAGGCTGAGTTTATAAGCATGCTAATAAACATTTGATTGTATTTTTAAATACATGAATTTTAGAGATTCAATTTGACATAACACGTGAATAAAACGAGGGATTGTCTTGGCAATAAATTGTGTCGCAGTAATTAGAATCATTAACTCAGTGTAATAAATAACATTCATAAAGGCCGCATGTTAAACATCGGTGCTTATGTTCATGAAATAGATACATATACTTTTGCTTAACTAGTGCCTCATTAATCAATACAAATACGAAATTTAGGGCGCCCTGATTACTGTAGAACTAGATACAAAGAGATACTAAACGCCTACGTTTCATGACCGAAATAAATAACCAAATAACAGTATAATGAAAAATCCATACCTGGGATCTTCAAATTCTACAAACGCAAATGGTGGTCCTTTTCTGTTTTTAAGATCAACGAAGGTAACTTTGCCGAATTTGTAAAACAAGTCTTGAATGTCCTTTGTCCTTATATCAGGAGGTAGGTTACCGACATATATTCTACATTCATTTCTGTTACTGCTACTGCCACCAGACATTTTGTCTTATTTAGTGCGTACACTAATAATTATTTTTTCTCTATATTTTCTTTAACACTCAAGTAACGCTTCGGCGTTACTCTTAATTATTAATTAAATATGGCGACTGACAGACCAACGACGAAGGAAACGGAAATAGACAAATGATGGCCTGATAGATTGTTCAGAAATTGTCTATTGGTTGTGAGTGCTTTAGGCTATGGAAATATTTCTGTTAGTGCATTTTATGCCTAGTTTACATGGGTGCCGAGGCTTGGCAAAAGTCCACAAGCTCCAAGTCTTTACAAACGCTTGGATACCATTAACACGCTTGCGATTGTGCTATTGTGTTCCAGACAGGCAAACATAGCAGACGTGGACATATTTTTATTCAAAATATAAACGGCGCCACTAAACTAAAAAAAATATATTCTCTACCCCTACTACTCAACTAAACTACTCAATCACTAGAGCATTGAGACTTAATGTTGATTCCCGACTGCTAAACTACAATGACACACTTTTAATATCAAATTGAGCAGTAGGGAACACGCACTCGCTAATGTGTAAATACGTCGCAAATGCTTGGACGCCATTAACACGCTTGCTAACTTCCTTTGATCTGTGTTTAAAAACCGACACTAGTACCGATCGACGACGAGCATACACGGGGTTAATGGCGTCCAAGCGTTTGTAAAGACTTGGAGCTTGTGGACGTTTGCCAAGCTTCTGCAAAAACTGACCAAAAACCGCACGCCGTCTCCAGGTACCAGTAGCCGTGGAACCAGGTATACCCTAGAAAGAAAAGCCCTGGTACACTTTATTGTTACCCTAGTCCGGCCTATGAGTTTACATGGGGGTGCGCACACGTAGTGACGTGACATCTGGGAGACTTTTTTATCCGCCGACAAGTCCATGACAAACTGTCACCGAGCCGGTAAATATTATATCAGATACACTAGATAAAAATCCAGGAATAAAAAACAGAATGGATTCTAAGCTAACTACAAGTTTATTTTATAATCTACAATACAAGACAAGTTTTTATTGTTTCTTCTATCAGTTTGATGTCCGAAAACAACAACAATAATTAATACTTTCTTGTAAAATAAAAGTTTATATCACTCAAATAAACACACTTTTATATCAAAGGTATCTTGTGCCATCAACGCAACGGCTACATCTACAGATAAACAGTGTATGTGCATCAAGGACAGTCACAGACACTCGTTTGAAAATATTTATTTTGATACTTTAAATTGTTTATTTAAATTATTTTGTACATAATAGAACATAAATGATATTGTTAGACGTTTACTAGAGGAATATAAATAAATCTTTTATTTTAATTTTACTATACTCAAATCCAATAGGAATTAAAATAACTTTCACTATCTAGATAATGTAAATTACATGGCAAGATCATAATTTTTATTAATCTTCACAGTAAATTCTAAAACAAATCAAATCTCCTATTATATATGTAGTTGGCCAAAAAAGAAAATATTTTTCAAAATATACAAATTTTATATTTCGAATGTGTTTAAATTTAGAACGCCCTCTACCGTAATTTAATGTAATCTTTATTGAAAGAAGCCTGTGAAAGAATCCTCTGGAAGTAGGCATTGAATCTCCGGTTATCAAAATCTATACGTGAGAATTTGTTCTTATCCCGAAGCAAAAGTGAGTATTTCTGTCTTTCTGTGCCTATTAATTTATTTTATAGTATAAATAGTATTTGAGAGTGCCAGTTTTTAACAATTTTATGTAATTATAAAAATGGTGTGTGGTGGAATCGAAGGCGGAACGTTATTATCCATAAATTTTGGTAAACTTGTGCATTACCAAGAGTTTTATTGATTAAACTAGGCTGTTTCTATAGTGATAATCTGCATTATGAGGGATTATTTCTATCAAAATCCGCCCTAAGCTGAATTACATGACGGCCTGCCTAAGTTTCTCTTCTATTGATGACGGGTATTAGTGCTAGTGCTACTATTAGAATTACTACGAAAAAGCCATCGCAAACCGTTGAAGAAGTCAGGTAAAGTAGAATTCGTATGCAAGAAGAAACCCGTTAACTCCGTTAGTGATTTTTCAATTTTTTTAATAAAAAGGGCGCGCACGGTTCTGATTTCGCGCTTGACCTTTTCTGGAGGTTATTAATAGCATATTATGGCTATAAACAATAACTCATCCCTTAATATGGAACATAGAAAGTCTTTCATTAGAATAAAGGGATTATAAAGGGAGCTGATGATAACCTTTTCCCTTAACTCAGTCATCGATTGCAACAAGTGCTGTTTGATGATTAATTACATCAATATTGTTTTCAAATGGAATTGCGCTATGGGCAACCTTATCTCGATACTTACTTTACTTACTTTTCCCCCCGATTTTGGTTTATAACATGCCGAAAATGACTATCGCGTTTACACTTGCTACATAGCAGTCAGACAGGTAGTTCTCTTTGCTACTCGTAAAAACGTATTTGGAAAGTCTCTTGTAAGAATTTCAAGTGGCACAGTTTTCTTTGGCTATGAAAACATGAGAACCTTATGATTAGATGGTAGTACTATCTGCTGTCTTACTTAATGCTTAAGGCCCAGATAAACTGCTCTTGGAGCAGTCCTGGCTTTCCCCTGCCTGCCGTTTCTGCTCACGTTGACTATATTCATTGTTATACAATAAAAGATACTTAAGCACTCCATAATCTTGGATAAACTGAACAATGTGAGATCTGGTATCTATTTATTATATTTCAATGTCCTGTATACTATAGAATTACACATGTGACTTGACAGATGGCAGAAAATGTATAGTCAGTGTGGTGAAGTTCGCCTCCAGGGCAAGCCTTTACCACCAGCTCTTTGGCCTCATGTGTAAGTCTATTGTCAACAATTTGGTTACGAGTTGTAATATTGTCTTAAAATCATCATAAAGCTTAACTACACTATCAAAGTACATAATCTATAACAAATGTTTGCTCCGAGCAGTGAAGTGTTTTTGTAGTAAATGAGTCATATCTTGTTTTATATAGACACAAAGCTGACAAGATGTGCGACCGCAAAGCGGTGATCAAGAATGCTGATATGAGCGAGGAGATGCAGCAGGATGCAGTGGACTGCGCAACACAAGCTCTAGAGAAGTTTAATATCGAAAAGGTAAGACATCATCACTTTATTTACGTAATCAGGCCTGAACTGTGTAAATACTCATAATATTAACTTTAACAAAATATGCTATTCATTTATGATAAGAAAATATACTTCTGCAGTAGTTGAATGTCTGTTTGAGAACAGTTTAGTGAATGGCGGTTTAGTTCAGGCCTTTAGCAACTATTGATAAGAGTTGAGGTTTTCCTGTTGTGGTTTTAGTATTTGTAATAATTATTTTGTATTCATTCCTCATTAAAAATAACTGCTTTATATTTAGAACAATGTAGCAGTTAATTTTTGTGAATGCTGTGGGGTACTCAAATAGTTTGCATGTTGTGTGAGTAATCCATTAAAAAGTTGCTTTGTCATGATAATTAATGGTGTCATTCCTCCTTGAGAATGTTTGTGGCCACAACGCAAAATGGACATAGTGAGAATCCTGTGTGTCATTGAAGATAAACGCAGATTGCACAGATTGACTAACACCAATAGCGTAAAACAGGCATCTGCTAAAGCACTCCTTGCACTTTGCCGAGCCCTTGCACACCTGCCTTGGCTCTGTTTGGAAGACATCGCGTGTTGCGCCTTGGTTTCCGTTTGAAAGACAACGCGATATGCTGCCTTTTGGCTTTGTTGGGAAGACATCGCGTGTTGCGCCTTGGCTTCCGTTTGAAGGACATCGCGCGATATGCTATCTTAGTTCCGTTAAGACATCGCGCGATATGCTATCTTAGTTCCGTTAAGACATCGCGCGATATGCTATCTTAGTTCCGTTAAGACATAGCGCGATATGCTATCTTAGTTCCGTTAAGACATAGCGCGATATGCTATCTTAGTTCCGTTAAGACATAGCGCGATATGCTATCTTAGTTCCGTTAAGACATAGCGCGATATGCTATCTTAGTTCCGTTAAGACATAGCGCGATATGCTATCTTAGTTCCGTTAAGACATAGCGCGATATGCTATCTTAGTTCCGTTAAGACATAGCGCGATATGCTATCTTAGTTCCGTTAAGACATAGCGCGATATGCTATCTTAGTTCCGTTAAGACATAGCGCGATATGCTATCTTAGTTCCGTTAAGACATAGCGCGATATGCTATCTTAGTTCCGTTAAGACGTAGCGCGATATGCTACCTTAGTTCCGTGAAGACATCGCGTGATATGCCACCCTAAGATGAACTAATTCCGTTAAGACATCGTGTGACATGCTAGCTTAAAAGACAATTTCGTCAAGTGTAATCGTTGCGTGTTTCATTACACTAATCGATGTACATGAGCCAAGCATCTGCGCTCTTTGACGATGATTAATGTGTTAATAATAAATCAATATTGTTTTCTCAGTCGTTTGTAATATTCTGACGCATAACCTTTGTTGCAGGACATCGCAGCATTCATAAAGAAAGAGTTCGATAAGAAGTATAACCCTACGTGGCACTGCATCGTGGGGCGCAACTTCGGCTCGTACGTGACGCACGAGACGCGCCACTTCATCTACTTCTACCTCGGCCAGGTGGCCATCCTGCTGTTCAAGAGCGGCTAGGCGGCGGCCTCGAGCCCCTTCCAAATTTTATGTTGTTAGCACAGACGCAGTAATGTCGGGGCGGCCGGCGCCCCGTGTTGTGTGGCGAGTGACGTGTGTGTGTGTGACTGAGCGACTGCGAGTATGTGGCGCCACTCCGGACTAGCCTCGAGCCCACGGTTATTATTTAACGATGCTGGACTTTAACTGCGTCGACTCTCCTCACTTATTAGTACCCGGCGCACTCGATGTATGTTTGTACTGTGTTAGCTATACTTAAGAATCGATATTGACTCGGTAAAACATTCACTTCTAGTGTATTTATATTAAAAATTTTAGTTAATTATTCCTAGACTTATTACCTAGCATAGCGTAAAAGTCATATGTTAGTATATAACTAAATTTATTGTTTAATTTCTTTGTTAATACACCCTGCGAAATATTTTTCAATACTTCTTTATTAAAACTTTCTTACAAACCAATCCTCTACTTTTATTTATTGCAAATGTCTTCTATTTTTTTAACTAATATTACAACAGTCAAAAGCGTTTTTCTCTTCCTTAAAATGTTCAATTACAAATATCGGTTTTTGTGCGTAGAATATTCCCAGAGGAATTCTCCGCACTAGTTTAGTCTGGTACCGGAGATTTCTCACTCCACACTACATGAAAATAAATGATATATTAATTCGGTTACCTACGGTTTTTTATTGTAACATAGAGCCCAACATTCTAGTATGGTAAAACAGGTGTATGCAACTGCATATTGACACCAGACAAAGAGCAAGGTTTAATGTTTTTAAAGAAAAGTTACTAACCTCGTCATTATAAAACATTGTATTTGAGAATTGATATCGGTTATAGTGATAAAACAAACTTCATTACAAATTTAAGTACCAAGCACCTTTAAAGATCCGATCACGCGTTTGTGACTCCCTGAGTTGCAGACGTTCATGGGCGGCGATAGTCGCTTTCCATCAGGTGACCCGTCTGCTCGTCTGCCCCCTCTAACATAAAAAAAAAAACTGAAAAAAGTGGGCAAAATTGCGAATAATTAACGACAAAATTTCGGAGAAAACTGATCTTCGCTATAACTTTGAACCAGTGACGGACGATTTGGCTACCTACTGATTTCGGCTAATTAGCGACGATTAAATTTGGAAGAAAACAGATCTCTAGGTGCCCTAGTTGAGATGAGTGGCCAAGCTGGGGGGACCTAGCAGGTTCATCTAGTGTCAGTGACACCACGGCATCGTATGGAATTCACTCGCATCAAAAAACATTACGATAAATGTACAAAATTATACACTGATTGAAAAAAATGTACGACACGAGAAAACTGATCAAATTTGCACCGCTAGGAAGCATACTTTAGGTGACAATTTATTTCATAGTATAGCAATCGACTTCGACATTTTTATGAATAAAAAAACGGGTCAGGTACAAGTCGAACTCGTGCGCCGAGGGTTCCGTACCTACTCAGATTGTACGTAGATTTTCGCGAAAATTTAAGTATCAAAATTTATCTTAATTTTCAACTTTTTTTATTTTTTGGAATTATTTCTTTATTTGTGCTGCAAGACGTTTCTTTTTGCCAAATTTCGTGATTCTAGGTCAACGGGAACTACCATATAGGTTTTCGACCCAAAACCTATAGGGTACTTCCGGTTGACCTAAAATTGTCAATTTTGGTTAAAAGCAAGGTCTTACAGCACAAGTACTTAAAGAGAAAATTCTGAAAAATAAAAAAGTTGAAAATTAAGGTAAATTTTGATACAAGTTTTCGCGAAAATCAAAATTTGCCCCTATCTTTTTATCCTGTTGACTCAGGACCTTGATTTTATCAATTGATATGTATCTAGTATTAATTTCAACTTGCTAGGTCTACCCGTTCCTGAGAAAATCGGTGGTGACACACGGACAGACGGACAAGAAAGTGATCTTATAAGGGTTCCTTCTTTACCTTTTGAGATACGGAACCCTAAAATGAATGTACGTTCTGGTTTTAAAGCATTTTAGGTACTTAGGTATTCGTAAGTAATTTTATATTGGTAGTATAAAATCATTTCAATGGAATGTGTGGTTTGATCAAGTACAAACATAAATAAACACAACAGCTAAATTCCATTAACTAGAATATTAGTACCTACTACAATGTTAACGTAAGTAATATGTATAGCTATACTCACTACCTCCTTTCTAAGGAGAGGCCCATGTCCAGCAGTGGACTATTTAAAGGCTGTTGATGTGTGATATGTGATGTGATGATACTCATTGATAATGCACCTGCATTATCAGAGTGAGTATAGCTACCTAGATGAGTCCCTATTAATCATCACTACCGCACGTATTAATTTACCACGTAGGAGTCATCATCATCATCATCAACAGCCTATACTAGTCCACTGCTGGACATAGGCCTCTCCTTAGAAAGGAGGTTGTGGCCTACTATACCACGCTGGCCAGACGGGTTGGTATAGGGTTTGTTTCAAGTTTTCCTTCTCTTTGCAGTGCTGTTGTCCTGCTTAGTGCCACGTAGGAGTGTGTCTTTATAATTACTTATATTAGAAGTTATTTAAATAATTTCATCTTTTATTAGTGTATATAATTGATCAAAACCCTTAATCAATCATGTTCCATCAGAATGTTTTGATACTACCCTATAAATTTACTTAAGAGTACAAATATACCTAAAATGCTTTAAAATCTGAACGTATAAGTACTTATCGTATTTTTTTCTGATTCATAAGTAAAACGAAATCTTGATTGCTACAATTGTATTCTTGTGTGAGGTGAGGACGTGTTATAATGAGAAAGACTTGACCGTATTATATTATCATTTAATCAGCGGATAGGGAAAGAAATTGACACCGCTGGAAAGTATGCAATTTGATCATTGTTTTGTAGTAAGCCTTTGTAGTACTTTATTTTTTTTTTATTTTTTTTTGTAATGAACGTACAATTTCGTACATTGTTTTGATGTGAGTCTGAATTCTGTACGATGCCACGACACCGCTAGAAAGTATGACAGAATGAAGTTTAATGTAAATGATTTTGACGCCGATCGGCGTTTGCGCAGGTGAATATGAATCCTACCTATGATATATATGAATTATTTTGATTTGTTGGTTCAATCTAAGTGACAAGTGACTATGAGACACTGCTACAAATAAGTTAATTGGTGATTAAACGTGGCGATAGAAGCAAAACACTGTGTATTTTATAAATATGGCTGAAAATAGTTAGTACCTAATTTGTTTCTTTTCTATTCAGTTCAGGTAATGAACATTCACTTAGGGTTTTTTAAATTATACTTGAAATTCAGCAGCATTTAAATATATGGACACAATAAATTTTACTGGATATTTTTCTTTGACCTTGCCCGCCCGACACGATACCTGTGTACATATCTCGCGTTGCACGCGATGTCGCCGGACCGCCGCCGCGCCGGTCTCCGCGAGCACGGTACAATTATAATACAGTACTCCAACTTCATACAAACGGACGAAACGCGAGCTATACCTACGCGCCTCGATCTCGGGGTGCGCTCGGGGCGCAGACAGTCACGGCTGTACCGCAGTGTCGAACGGACGGTGTGTTGTTTTTTTAACAATAACCGCGCGATTTTTTTTCTCTAAAAATCAGTTAATATGACGAGTAGGAAATATTGTGCTGTTTTTGGTTGTATGAATTCGTCAATAACGCATCCAGACATAAGGTTTTTTTAAATTACCTGGAAACTCTGAAAGGTAAGACTATAAAATAATTTTACTTACTAGTAGGTAGGTACATAATGTGTGTCTTTTTTATGGATAAGTATTTCCTTTTATCTTACGAAAAAAAAGGTGTTTGGATTAATTAATAAAGCGAATAGAGTAACGTAAAGTTATTGAGACGAGTGAAATAGGTAGTTATATGAGGTTCTGAATGAATCATGATACGGTAGGTACCTACCTACTTACGCTTGTGTTAAAACTTCGGTGCATGTCTTAGTCTTTACTTTGAATTATGCAAAGTAAAGACACATGTGTTTACTTTGCATAATTCAAAGTAAAGACGTGGTATTTTATTTTTAATAATATTTGTTTATTATCTGTGTGTATGAATAATACTAGAAAAAAATTTTTACCGTCTGTGTGTCATTAGATAGTTTTCGAAATTTTCACAAAGTGTTTCTGCTGCTACTATAACAACATATACCACTAAAAACTCCTCCAATGCAGAAAGAAAATAAAATAATTAAATCTACCAATCAAAAAACAACACGCATTTTTATTGAACACTTCCTATTCAATATACAAAGTATTTCATTTATTTATATAAAAAGAATATTTACAATCACAAATCTAAATAGAAACAGAAAGTAGGCAAATATAATTAAAATGCTGGAGACGGGCAGCCCTAACGCATGTTTACGTACCGCGCGGCTGTAGGCATTTATTTCTATCATGCGGCCGAGTTACAGTACTGTATTATAATAGTACCGTGCCGCGAGCGTTGACACTTGCAACTTGTCCTCCCAAACGACTGTCGCTTATTAGCTCGCTCGCTCATAAGACAAAAGCCCCGCAAAACGCACTGCTCTAAACTTCTCGGTAACATCTCAATAAAAAAAATCGACCTCTCGAAACGTCATTCGCAAAATGGCTTCAGGTCGCAACAGTATCTTTCAAAATGTCTATTTCATACAAATTTTGAATTATCGACATTTGGACCTACTTATGCAAAAAGGAACCAATCTACACACGTAGTTAAGAATGCAGAAACCTTTTAAAATGTACTTTCTATCGATCCTGTAAGATTCAAAATGCGTCGACAACTTTGACAGAATAAAACATTTTCATGACAAGTTTACCAACCAACATTAAACCAATAGTTAAATAAACTAACAAGAACCATGTGCCCTGGTAACTGGACCATCTAAAAAATTTGTGAATTTGACTTGCTGGTGAAAAAACGTGACGAGAGCGTTACGAAAAGTGTGACCGGCGAGGCGAACGGAAGTTGAGAGGGGGATATAAGTTAGTGAAGATAGAAAGAGAGAGAGAGTTACGAGTACGTTTCGTATATTAATGTAGGGGCAAGAGAGAGAGGTGCGAGCACACATTTTCTTTCTCTTTCTCACATAGCCCAGAAGTTTTACTTCAATCGTGTGGTCTAAAGCACACTCGTTTTTTTAAAGGGACCATGCCACATGGTTTCTCGTATTTATTTTAAACTTTAGGCTTCATTTAGAACCGGCGGGATGGTTCTTTATTTTAAAAGACTAACATTACTTGGTTCTTTGAGCCAGGAGTATGTGGTGATTCCACTATAAAACCACTCCAACGGCCGGCCTCAGGCGCCCTACTCTGAGAGAACCCAGACCATGTGACTTTATGACCATGGTCCTTCTCTTCGAAGCGCACTGCGCAAGGCATGGATTTTATCGATCCACATACCGTGAAGATATCACAAGGACTAGGCAAAATCTTTGTAAGCAAAATTTCTAGCAGAGACCACGAAAATACTAAGCATTATTTGACTTCCAACTAATCCCCTTATCCGGCCACAGGCGCGCCTACCCTAGTAACAAAACGTACAATACATGCAAATACCACGCACAATTTCGGTATGAAATAGTTAATTGATTAGCAACATTGTTAATTGGTTCCACTCGGCAATGGCATTGTGGGCGTGTTGAGATCGTTATGTTAATTACTTATGCGGTACGAATTTGTAACACATTTGTCTAAAAATATTTAGATGCTAATTTCAAGGTTATACCGGCCAGCCTAATAGTGCAGGACGTTTCATTCCTTGAAACAAGACGGCATCCCCAAAATACACAGATGAATAAAACCCTTTAGCTTTTATATACCACCTATGAAAACTTTTATTAGGTATTCAGTCAAACATTATGTAAATAAAGGGTTCAGTTAAGTAATAAGTTATACTTTATATTGTAGGCACAGTTTAATACAAAGTTATTGACAAAATTGAAGGTCCTATAGGCAACTCCGTAAAAGAGCTCCACGCGTTGAACATTCCTTTGTTCATCTACAGCTGTAGCTTCGTAAATGCTCAGGTGATTCGGCCGAAGGACCCCTTTGTAGGTGATGTATGGTGGCGTGGTTACCAAGAAACTCATAAATAAAAAGCGGTGGATGATTTGAGTACTTTCGGGGGAGCAAACGTGCGTGTGTTCATGTCGGCTTTTAAGCGTCAACTGCTTAAATTGTATCTATCTGAGCGCGCTTTATTTTCACTAATACATAAACACAGTTGGTTTAACACATATTATAGGTATACATATTTCGAATGTTTTAATAATAAGGTTATACATAAAAATATAGTTGCTACACAATATTTACAACGCAAGTTGGCTACTAAGGTGGTAAATGCTCACCGTCGTCTATGAGCGCTAGTAACAGCTTACGCGTCGTCTACATTCTCTGCCCCATTGTCTGTTAAAGAGGTCAATCACCACTAGAGGGAGGCAGTACAGTTAGGCGAGTAGCGGGTCTGGTAAGTATACCGTTCTGGGTTTTGACGTGGCGGCATCGGCATCAAAACCAATCTCAGTTTCTTTTCTTTCGGATTATACAAATTCCAAATACGTTTTCTGTGCGTTGAAATTTCATTATCAGTTTACTTTCGAGCATAATTGTTTTGAAATAAATGACCGACTTGACTGATCTTTTCTTTATATCTCAATATATTCTTATTTATTCGGGGCTTAGAGTAAAAAAATCGTCGCACTCACTAGTGCAGTTGTAAACATACCGCGTTATCAATGTTGTCTATGTGTGCATTGCCATTCCTTTGTCGCATTGTGTATGACGATGCGCCGGCGCATACATGGCGCCTCCCCACTTTGTCGAGTCGACTGCCCTCGGGGATAGCGAGGGAGAGAGGTGCGACGGCAGCAATACGGGCGGACGACGGCTGACCCGCCAATGTCATAACAACAATAACACACTCTGTTAGAGATAATCGATGGTGGGGTGACGTAACAGCGGTAGCGGGTACAATTCCATGGAGGTGTAAGGGTTGCACATGGTTCATTCTTGCCACGATAGTCTTTAGAGAATAGTTTTTCTTTGTCTTGTCCGAAAAGTAATTTAGGTTTTACATCACTGCTTCACAAATAATGTTTATTATTGTGTAAAGAGTTTAAAGTTTACAATTTCACTTTGGCACACTATATTAGAGTCAATCGCGCCGCGAATTCATATAGTTTCGACGCAGTAGCTCCATCGTCAAATAAGGCGTGCGCCGTTAGGTCCGTGAATTTTTACAAGTATTATTTTCAACATAATACCCGCGTTCGGCGACATTATGGTGGTGTTTGTGACAGTTCCGCTAGCCGGCGCGTGCGTTAGGGTTTGACGTCACTTGGTAATGCAGTTTTCTTGGCAGACCAATGAAGTAAGCGATGATGGGCCATGCCGCACTCGTCCACATCGCAGGGCGACGCAGAACAGGCTTCTTTTCTATGACCCGGCAGCAGGCAGTTGTGACACAGTTTGTTTACTTTAACGATGCGCCACTAGTCTTTCCTTAACGCTCGTTTGAATTTAGTACAGGTCGAAAGCGGATCGGCGAGCGCGCTCGCTTCCAGGGAGCACAGGGAACATGGGGTTCCCACACGGGGGGGGGGGTCGTCTACTCGTCTGTAGATGACCCGAGGTATGTCGGGGTACCAGGGACTTCCTTTCTAGGGTATACCTGGTTCCCCGGCTATTAGTACCCGAGACGGCGTGCGGTTTTAGTCGGTTCGAGTCCGACATGCCACCGACAGGTGATATCCGAGGGGATTTACGCACGAAAAAAAAAAAAAAAAAAAAAAGGTCGAAAGCGGATGGATGGCAGTTCGACAGGCTGTACACTTAGCACTGGATTTCCTGGCATGCAGCACAGAATGAGCTTGAGTCCTGCGCTCTTCGGTTTTCTTGTGCACTCTGTGGTCTGCTTGGCTATGTATGTAGCTTATTCCAACGGAGCCTCCTTTTGTGGCTTCGTTGTGTAGAAAATCTGCTAATATTTGTAACTTAGCTTAAATGTCATCTTGCTGCTCATATATATATATCATATATAGCTAGTCTGGACAGCAGTTTTGAATTGAGGTGACTGTAGCGAAGCGCTCCATTGCTTGGGCTAGGGGGTGAAGCACAACGCGCGGTATCTCCGCTGCCCGCGTTGTTGCCGTGACCCATTTTTGTTCAGCCATTCTTCCACTTTATTTGAGGCCTCAGCAAGAGAATCTCTTCTATTGCATTGAGATTTTCGCGATGACCCACCTTCAAGCGCAGCGAGTTGAGCTTCTAACCTTTTTTCTAACAGTTTCTTCTCAATTTCAGCTTTTGCTTCAGCTGCTTCCAGCTCTAGTCGTTTCCTACGTGCTAATAAAGATGATCTAGTGGATCTTTTCTTCGAATGAACTGATGCTGCACTGGTAAGTTCGACTTTCAAACTTCCCTCCATTTTAGGTATCTGTTTGGCGATTTCTTTCAGGTCATTTTTCGGAACCACTATTTCAAATCGCACTTTACGTGGAAGGACTATACTTTTATCTTCAGTGGTTGGTAACGATTCTCTTGCGAGAGGTCCACGCGTTTTTATCATTGTGCGCGGCGGTGTGTTGAACATTCCTTTGTTCATCGACAGCTATAGTTTCGTAAATGCCCAGGTGATTCGGCCGAAGGACCCCTTTGTAGGTGATGTATGGTAGCGTGGTTACCAGGAAATTCAGAAATAAAAAGCGGTGGATGATTTGAGCACTTTAGGGGTACAAACGTGCGGGTGCTCGTGTCGGCTTTTAAGCGTCAACTGCGGCCGGTCGGTAACTACCTTCCTCTTCTGTGTTTGGAGAGACCGCTACGACCGACATCAACCAGCCAAGGCGGTCAAAGTAATTATTAAATTACTAGTTACTGAAGTCATTATCAAATTAGTAGACTACTTTGTTTGTGTCTCTGAAAAATATTTTTTTTTCCGTTTTTGCAACATTTTTCACCCTTATTGATCGTAGAGTTATATTGACCACAGCCTTCCTCAATAAATGGGTTATTCAACACTAAAAGCTTTTCAAGAACCAGCTTCTGAGATTAGCTCGTTAAACCAAACCAAGAAACACTTCATTTTATAATACTGGTATTAGAATATTCCTTTAGCTTCGCTTGGGTAAATGTTAATTGTCTATTTCCTGAGAAAGTAATTTTATCTATCTATCCATAATTACTATGGATAGATAGATAAAAGTGTACACAGGTCAAGCCGTTTTGTGTACACTTTCATCATGACATGTGAAACCTCCCGAAATTCAAAGAAGTTGCCCAAAGGTGTACAGCAAAAGATTTTTTGTTATAAAATAATTTTAACTTACCATTTTTACTTATAGCAACGTTTTGGGCTAAGGATCCTGTAAAGATACTGTAGGTAAATGTATTAAATAAATCAATAATTGTTAATTGGATGGACATTATGCAAAATTTTATGAAGTGCCCATTACTCACTCACATACAATACATTATAACATGGTTAGTGTTACCATATTAGATAGTTAGGATAAAAAAACGGTGCGAGGGGTCCGTGGACCCCCGATCGGAACGAAGTTCCCTTCGCTTATTGGTAGACGTGGGCTATATATATGAAACATAAAAACGTCGGCGCGCCAATTCAAGTGTCGGCAAAAAGTCTTGTTACACATTTTTCGGTCTCGTTCCCATCCGCGTGAGATAACAGAGTGTGATAACTATTCTCTGACATGTCTTAGTAATGCGCATAAATGCGTATATCTGTTGACATATTTTGATAATTTTACTGTATTCAATTGCATTAATTTATGTATTTCTGTATGTATAATTATTTGTACACTACATAATGTGGTAGGACATAGTGCACTTCTAACATAATCTAAGACCTGTAACTAACCTATGTTTCCGCAAATAAATGATGATTATGATTATTATGATTATGAACTTCTGTGCCCACTTGACACAATATTATCAAGAAAACAATCATATATTATATTTATATGGAATTCGAGAGAAAATAAAAGACTACCGCCTGCCATTGACACCGCAAACTCATAAGTCACAAATGCGTTGGCGCCTTTTGAGAGCTCTCCCCATAATCAGGGGAAAGAATGGGGTTAGGTTCCAGTTCCTTCACTCACTCGTTGAAAAGCAACAAAAGAATTGCTGGACACCGGTTTTCTGTGAGGCCCTGGCATCACTCCGGCTGAGCCGCCCCGTTTGTAATAAAGAATGACTGTCTTTTTGTCAAAGGAAGGTATATGTTGATTTCTATGTTTTCCCCTCGACTCGTTTCCCCTAAAATTCCCTCGCCATATTCATTTTTTCTTTATCCAAGTTACTTTTTTCCTTTGTCCCATCTGAATACGACTTCAGGGACGACAACAGAGTGTTCATATTGATGACTTGTCGTCGAGTTGGTGTGATCTTCTCACTGGCGTCCCTCAAGGCGGTATATTATCTCCCTTATTATTCTCAATATTCATTAATCTCATAACCCAGCACCTTCAGTGTACGTATCACCTGTACGCTGATGACTTACAAGTGTACACACAGACAAGGGTTGAGGACATAACATACGCTATCGACAAAGTCAACAAGGACTTGGACTTTGATTGGAGAGAGGAGATGGCGCTAGCCGCTGTGTCAACATCAGCTCCGTATTTATAAATTGTTAAATATTCATTAAGTGATTTAATTAGTTGTTTAAAGTGATTAATTAACTTCAATTACTATATATTCCATCGTCTATCGTTTGTGATACTTTACAACAGTTTAATAGTGTATAAAAGTGGATAAACAAATTCTAGCTCAATAACGTTGTTTACAAACATAATTCCTATCATAAGTACAAGAAGTTATAATAAACTCGTACAACTATATAATAAAATACACAGTGTCAATAGATTGTGCAATAAAACGACATAAAACCACAAAATCTATAGTGAACTCGAAACAGTGGAAAAGTGTTCGTTATTTTTATTCAAAATTACAGGTGTGGGCGAATGAATGGTCAACTGACGTATTCGCTCGCTATTTGCTTGAATTATAACACGTTAAATATATTCAAGTATTTCAACTCCATGAACAATTGACTCCGTGGTCTGGGGTGAAACGTATGTGCGTACTTACACGACCAACCTCGAGTTCGAGACCTACCGATAAAATTCGCTTTTTGTGAATCTACATAATTCTCCAAATAAAATTGAATTGTTCAAATATGGCTTCTAATGATAATGATAATGTTACACTGAGAAATAAATGTGTGCAGCGTTCCGTTTCACAACAATCAATAGAATCAATAGATAGTTTGTCAACGCCGCAAAGCGCCAAAAGCATGCTAGATCTATCTACGCATTTTAAAAATGAAGAATTTAAAGTCCTAACAGACACTATTAATAAACTTAAAGCACAGTTGATGAGTGCACATGCAGAAATAGATGTATTGACTTTAGAAAACAACTCGCTTCAACTGAAATTACAAGAAGAAAGACAGAAAGTGACACAGTACAAAAATATGTATGTTACGAGCTTGAGTGTAAAAAAAAATAACACAGCTAGTAACATAAAACATAAAAAAAAATCCTTGAATAGAAACAACCTTTCTTCTCGAAAACTAGATTTAGATATTGATTTCCTAACTCCGCAGCGTCCCTCTGTACAACAATCAGATTTAGATACTAATATGGAATTTATACACTGGTGAAGCACAGAATGACAAACCTTTCATTTTATCTTCAAAAGAGGTCCAAAATAAAACCCTTAAATCACAGGTAAAAAAACAGGTGAACGAGAATATAGGCTCACATTCAAAGACCTCTACCCTCAAACATGGACAAATTATCCTGCTATCTGATAACCAAGGAGCAGGAATAGCTCAGAAACTAATACGTTATCAACATAAACTAATTCTGAATAAATACAAAATTTTCTCAATAACAAAACCCTTTGCAACAACAGAGAATGTTTTATCTAGCTGTAATGTTTTATCACAAAAATTAACCAAGAGAGATAGCGTCATCATAATGAGCGGTAGTAATGACTCCAATCCGCTTAAATTTCAAAGTGAAGTCTCTGCTGCGCTTAAGCTATTTGAAAATTGTAATGTATACATCGTTAATGTTCTTCACAATGCATTTCTGAATGACAGAAAACTTAATTATAGTATTCGACTGTTGACTCAGAATTTCAAAAATTGCTCATTTGTAGAGGGCCGTAATAGTCACGAAATTGTACAACAAATCATTTACAAAATAAATTTAACACAATATACGCTAAATTATTTGTCATATAACAGCAAAACCTTTAAAATTGCCGCAACCTCTAAGAGGGATACAACTTCTTCACAAAACAAACAAAGTCAAAACAAACTTCAAACCATCAATTCATTTCATTCAATAAAATCTAGCTATAATATTAATAATCAATCACACAAGGGTTTAATCACCTACTATTTTCATGCTGTAGGAAAACCTAAAGTATGTACTAAGTCTCAACCGCGTAAGGGTACAATTCCCTACTACTTTCAGGCTGTAGAAATACCAAAGATGCGGGACAATAACAAAAAAGAGTTTTTTCGTAAACAATAGTAGTGATACCTTCTCGGTTTTTCATCAAAATATTGCTGGAGCTCTGAATAAACTACAAGATCTTGAGATGGCTATTCATGAACTTAACGAATCAGGTTTAAACATTGAAGTTGTTTGTTTAAGTGAACATTTTATAAGTGAAGGTGAGGAAAATTATATGTTGTTGAATGGGTATAAGCTTGTAGCATTTTACTGTCGAAAACAACGTCGAGGTGGCACTTGTATACTTTGCAAAAATAGGTATCAGTGCACTGAAATAACTGAGATTAAAAATATGAGTATTGAGAAACAATTCGAAATATGTGGTGTTGAAATTAAAAACAGTAACGTTGTTGTAATTTGTGTATACAGAACTCCGAACTCCAACATAAACATATTTTTTGAAAACTTTGAAAAATTGCTTATAAAAATACAACATAAAAAATGTAAAGTTGTAATTGCCGGGGACTTTAATATTAATTTTTTGCAAAATGATAGTAATAGCATTAAATATAATGAACTCATCTTTAATTATGGTATGCAATGTCATATTACCGAGCCGACACGAGCAAATAAATGCATTGACAATATTGTTAGCAATATTCCAACAGCGATTGGAAAAACACATAACCTTTGTCTATCAGATCACAATACTGCTCAAGTTTTGGGATTCAAGTGTCAAAGTATTAATGCCATAGCACATTATTTTGTAAATAAAACTGATCTTAGTAAAGAAAATATAAATAAATTTGTTGAATGTATAAGTGGTTTGTCCTTTTCAGAAATATATGAAGTTTCTCAAGCCAATACTGCGTTTGATAGGTTTCATAATTTATTAATACTATTTTATAAGCTATGTTTCCCTATCATTAAAGTTAAAAAAATCTACAAAAGTAATAATATAAAATGGCTAACTAAGGGACTTAAAATTTGCAGCAAAAATAAGAGAAAACTAAGATTTTCATACTACAACAATAGAACTGTCGAGAATAAAAATAAATTTAAAACGTATTCAAAAATACTAAGAAAGTGCATTAATCAATTACAATCAACCAGT